TGTTAATCCGACCACAATGAGAATCGATCATTACGTCCTAATAAACAAGTGGTCTAAATTTACCGGAACATGCTATATTATATACCAAAAATTAAACATATATTATAATATTAAATCAACATCGCTCTGCTGGTTCCTACCCCCCATACCATCCACCCACCCCCCCTACCCCAGGTCCAGATGACGTCAAAGACTACGTGCCAGACAGCTGCTGTAACACGACCCACTGGAACCTGACCGACTGCCAGCGTCTGCGTCTGCAGGGCGACGGTGACGTCATGCCGGTGCAGCGCGAACCCTTCCGCGTCACCAAACCCAACCCTGCGCTGTATCACGTGGTGAGTGTACGCGGCGACGTTTGTCTGGTGATGGTGTGCTCTGTTGATTTTCTGGTGATGGTGTGCTCTGTTGATTTTCTGGTGATGGTGTGCTCTATTGTGGTTTTAAGAAACCCTGGTGAGCGATGTATTGATTATTGTGAAATCAACGTTGGCTCTATGGCTATATGACCTATACGTTTATGTTTGAAAACGGAAGTCGAGAAGGCAAGCTTAGTGTAAAGACCACGCTCCATTTGGAACGCAGCCTATATATATATATATATATATATATATATATATATATATATATATATATATATATATATATATATATATATATGCATAATACTAATTGGTAAATACGCGTTTGATATTTTATTGTAAAGTGGCACCCAAGCTTATGTTCTTTTGTTATTACATGTTTTGAAAGACTGATATTAAAAAAAATGTGGGGCCCAAATATCCTGGGCTTCGGGCTGCTACCTTGTAAGCCCCTTCCACACCCAATCCCCTTAAGACGCCACTGACTTGACTAAAGCCTACTCTCGGCTCTCTTCTTTTTCCACCTTTTATATTTTTGGTTCCTGAATCGTTTGCTAAAACCTTTTACACAATCTTAATGGTGAGAATGTTAACGGCAGTAAAACAAAAAATACAAAGGGCTTTTCGTTTTATTGTATAGTCTTTGACTCACACGATCAAGTCGATGTTTTAAAATAAATTGTAAATTATTGATTGCTGTTCAGAAGACAGAATCGGTAAGTAGCGAATGAATAACCCTCCGTGTGATTGACATTTAAAATTCTGTCTATCTAGGGTTGCTATGACGCTGTTCGAGAAGTCATCTCAACAAATAATGTGGTCATCGCTTCTACAATACTAGTTTTAGTGGTCATTACGGTAAGTTTAGCCTACATGCAGAGTTTCTTCCTGGCATCTCTTCGAAGAAAGTCTACTACTTTAGCGTGAAATAAATGTTATATGTTACGGCTTCAGACTGACATCCATCTAGCTCAGTGGCGTCGCTATGTCGGGTGTCACCCGGGTGCGGAACCTCATGGTGTCACCCCCCCTTCCCTTCCGAGATCCCGAGAAGAAAAAATGTATAGGCCTATGTATATATATATATATATATATATATATATATATATATATATATATATATATATATATATATATATATATATATGGTCTACATAGGCCTACATATAGTTGTAATGTTGTAATTGATGTGATCCCCACCTATTTTGCCTAATGGCGTCAATGTGTGCGCACATTACATCAATCCACTTATTAATTCATGTGGAAAAAGCATATTTTTCAATGTAAATTACTTGATTTTGTTGTCACCCCCTCCCCAGTCGTTGATTGACTTATTAGGAATTCAAACTCAACAAACTTTTTTTTCCTCTGTAAATTTTGCAGTGGGTGTCACACCCCCACCCCCCAGTGATAGTTTTAAAGTGTGCACAGTTTATAGTAAAGATGTATTTCTATATTCAGTTATAAATACATGTGGATTAACTCTTATTAATCATTGATTGAACTGCCAAAAGCATATTTCTTCTATATATTTTGCATATTTTTGCCATGGTGTCACCCTTCTAAAGTCTGAATGGTGTCACCCGGTGTGGTCCGTACCTCCGTCCCCGCATCGAGACGCCTCTGACTAGCTTATCCTTAGTATATCTATTTGATAATATACCAGACCGCACTTTGTGAAATGTATGATGGGTAATACCAGATTTTAAACTGCTGTCTACAGGTCACCTGCATCATTCTAGCTGCGTGCATCTGTATGGAGATTCGATACTATAACTACATTGTGTGACATCGGAGACTCGATACTACAAGTACACAAAATCACTATAAAATTGATGATACCGCTACTTCTTGTAATACATGATATTCGATACTACAACAACATTGTGTGGTTCTTGCTATTCCATACTCTACTATACCAAGTGACATTGGAGGCTCGATACTACAAGCACACAAGGTCAATGTAGAATTGATACTACAACTACTTAATGTAATACAGGATATTCAATTCTACAACAACATTGTATAATTAATGATATTCTATACTATAACCTGGTGTGTCTCGGGAAGTTCGATACTACTACTGAACGTATAATACAAATATTCGATACTACAAGTACATCGTGTGATAGGCAATTCGATACTCATGATATTCGATACTACAATAACATCGTGTAACACGTGAAATTCAATACAACAACTACATTGTGTTACAGGATATTCGATACTGTGACTACATTGTGTGACAAGCGATATTCGATACTACAACTACAACATGTAGTAAGAGATTTAATACTACAACTTCGTGTAACACATGGTATTCGATACTACAACTTCGTGTAACACATGGTATTCGATACTACAACTACATCATGTAACACGTGGTATTCGATACTACAACAACGTGTAAGATTCGCTTGAACAACTACGCCGTTTGTCCCAGACCAACTCAATTTATTGCCAAATGTAAACAAACGTCGTTATTTTAATGCCGTGCTGAACACATCGTTACCACTAACGTCGTTATTTTAATGCTGTGTTGAACACATCGTTACCACTAACGTCGTTATTTTAATGCTGTGCTGAACACATCGTTACCACAAACGTCGTTATTTTAATGCTGTGCTGAACACATCGTTACCATAAACGTTGTTATTTCAATGCCGTGCTGAACACATCGTTACCATAAACGTTGTTATTTCAATGCTGTGCTGAACACATCGTTACCACAAACGTCGTTATTTTAATGCTGTGCTGAACACATCGTTACCACAAACGTCGTTATTTTAATGCTGTGCTGAACACATCGTTACCACAAACGTCGTTATTTTAATGCTGTGCTGAACACATCGTTACCATAAACGTTGTTATTTCAATGCCGTGCTGAACACATCGTTACCATAAACGTTGTTATTTCAATGCTGTGTTGAACACATCGTTACTACAAACGTCGTTATTTCAATGTTGTGCTGAACACATCGTTACCACAAACGTCGTTATTTCAATGTTGTGCTGACCACATCCTTACAACAAACGTCGTTATTTCAATGTTGTGCTGAACACACCGTTACCACAAACGTCGTTATTTCAGTGTTGTGCTGAACACATACCACTAACCAAGAGCTCAACTTTTCAATGAATGAATTTTTCATGTTGTAGTTAACTTAATTTCAACAATGAGTGATTTTTTGTTCTGATACATTTCCCTTTTAAGTCAACATTTCGACATCGAAACCATCATTTTTTTTTTACACAAGGCCCATAACTCAAGATTTCCTCATTGAATGAATCCATTTTGCAACAAGGGCCCATAACTCAACATTTCCTCATTGAATGAATCCATTTTGCAACAAGGCCCATAACTCAACATTTCATCATTTAATGAATCCATTTTGCAACAAGGGCCCATAACTCAAGATTTCATCATTTAATGAATCCATTTTGCAACAAGGTCCATATCTCAACATTTCGTCATCAAATAAAATGTTTTTGACACAAGGCCCATAACTTAACATTTTCTCATCGAATAAATCTTTTTTCTAGTAGTTTTCTAGTCACTAGCTTCATAATTCAATATTTCTACATCGAATTAATATATTGTCACAAGTCTCAAAAATCATCATATGAATCTTCAAGCAAAATGTACTTTCACTTTTTAACTAAAAGTTTTTGTGTAAGGCCATATAACTCAACCTTGCAACATCGAGTGCATCATTCAAGTACATTTAATCGTGTAAAGCAACTATCATTACTACTCTCATTTCAACAATCGAAGCATGGTGTTAAAACTATTTTTAAAAACCCGAACTCATTAATATAAAATACTCATTCAAATTGGTATTAAAAGGCCCATAACTCAACATTGAGAGAATCCAGTTCTCATAGCTCGGACTGACTCAATAAGTCTGATAACTCTCACTAGTTTGTTATGTTATTGCCCAGTTAAGACTGGTAAAATAGCTTTGGTGGATTGAATCAGACTCTTCATGTATCAACCTTTTTAAGAAATAAATGTCATGAATTTAATTTTTTTTTCCCCATTTTTTAACAAGTATTTGCACCTATTTTTTAAAAATAATCAGGATCTATAATTGAATTTCTTTTTTTGCTATTTATTTGTCACACTAAATGGTTAGCCACAATATTTAGCTCTATAGTAAGAACAACCCTTCTTTTTCAGAAAAGATCTAACCAACACAATGAAATCATTATGATCTTTTGTTGGACTTTTTGTTTTGAATTGTCTGGAATAAAATAAAAACCTCATGGTGAAAACATCTGTATATAGCAGCAGGTGAAAATATTTCTCATCTGATTTACAGCACATGATGACAGCTCCTTGCACACATTGTTATGTGTAGAATAACATGATCGTGTAGAATGTAAAGATTATTCTAGAATTGTTTTGATTCATGTAACAAATTTTTCAGAGTAGAAATTTAGAATGTCATTGTGTATGTTTGCAACAAAATGGCATCAAATGTAATTTAATAAATGCAGGGCAGAATGATCATATTATATGTGTATATTACATGTGTTTATGTAGAATAGGATGGCTATGTATGTACAACACTGCTAACACCAGTATGACAACATCACAGACATCTGACAGAGCTAGAGATGAACGTCAACAACCAATTGGAATTAGATTAAACTTTTATTTTTTCAAAGATCCTAGCTTGACTTGTCTTTTCTTTATGTGTTTCGGTATCTTTGTCTGTCTTTTTTCTTTCTGAGCTTCTTTTACTTGTTTCTTTCTTTCCTTTGAACAAAAAATACAAACAAGTTAATACTTCTGAGAAAAATTTATAATTAAAAATAGTTAACACATTTTTATATACAAGTTCTGTTATCCTAACGATCTGAAAATAATGGATGTATGACAAAAACTAACTAGTTCTGACCTAGGTGTTTGCCAAAAATATAAAATCCTAACCTAGAAAAATATAAAAATTTAAGTTTTATACTAATACTTTGTTTTCCTTTAAACAATAAACAAATGGAATCTTTAGTAAATAGTAAAATATTTCTAACCATTGGAAAAAGTGTGCTAAAACCTACTTTTTTGTCCTCGGCTGACTCATTCTTATGTCTGGCGGGGTGCAACTTCTTGCTGTTCTTGCCATCCTCATCCTCACCAACCTCTTTCTCCTGTCCATCACTGTCCTCTCCAGCCTCTTTGTCACTGTTCACAGCACCATCATCTTCATTGCTGTCATCATCATCATCATCCTCATCTTCTTCTTCATCCTCAGCTCCAGCTTTTTCTAAAAGCTCAGGTATCTTTGAAAACAAAAAAGAAAGAAAAATTTAAAACGACAAATCATACACAAAAAATAGATGATATACAACAACTACTTCAATTCAATATCAAACCATAAGAAATCTGTTTCCAACACTAGAACATAATGTGGCTAACACAAAGCCAAGTCAGTTAACACAGTGCAGAAGCTTAGGGAATATATATTAATGATATGCTAATATGATAGTCCATTTTGTGCTCTTATAGCAAATCTGTTTGCTACAGCTACTGTCAGAAGATATGTATATACTAATTTCCATCTTTATAGTAAGTTTCTCTGTCTAAAAAAAATGATAAATATTTCACTCAATAAATGACCCCCTAAATGGAAATTCCCCTTCTAAGAATGTTATCAAAAAATGAAAAGTTCACCTTGCTGGGTCCACTCAAGTCTGACCTCAAACCTGTCACAGTGTGGTACAGCACCTGCAACAACATGCAAATATAAGTAAAACATTAGTAGGTAAGTGTCTGTCATATGTTTGTGACATTTGAAACATTGATTGGTAAAGACAATTGAATCAGTAAAGCAAGACATTTAAGTATAATAATGCTGTATGTTGATATAACAAAACCATTTTGAAATAGAATTTGAATGTTGAAAAAAAAATTATTTAATCTCACAAGTTGCTTCTAGTAACACTTGACAAATTCTAAAATATTAAATAATTATAAAGTACATTATACAGACAAAAAAAACCCCAGACATTACCTGTTCTCCTTCAATAGTTTGAGACCTACGCACATCCCTCTCTATATCTACAACTTCATCTAAAGTTCTTGGGATGAAGGCTCTCTTAAACACCTGCAGGAATTAAAATGCTACTAGTTATAGACTGGGGTTTAGCTAGTAAATATGGAAACATTTTCCCTAGCACAACCAGATCTGTTAAACATTATAACAAAATACTTCCTAACTACTTTGTCTTTCAGACTGTTTCAGCCAGGTTGTGCAGAGCATATCAATGGCTAAACTAATCACTTAACAGTTTTATTACAACCAACAAAATCAAGGGGACAATGAGGTTGAACGGTAGAGCACTTGGCTGCTAGACCAAAGGTCTTGAGTTGGTATCTCAAATCAGACTGGTGACTGTAGCATGTCTCCAAATCCACCCAGCTCTGATGGGTACATGACTTAGGTTAGGGAAAAAAATTGACAGGGCATAATGCTGGCCGACCACATTATTCCTTCATGTGCCGAGGTAATTAAAACTCGACTTCATCTGCCCCAAGTGTTTTGGGCATGATCGGGAAAAGGTGATGATGAACACAAACCAATCTAATACACACTAAAAAACAAAGTGATAACACTAGTGATAACAGAAACCCCAATGTACCTCCTCATCAATTTTCTCCTGTTCAGAAATTTCTTCATGTGACCTGTTGGAGGCAATGTTCATAGACTCCTCAAGGTATTTGTCAATATTCTCTGGTGTAATGTTGCTGTCTGTCACAAACTCAAACAGCTCTTTCACTGTCATTGTTGGGACATTTTTCTTTCTAAAAAATTCTAAAGAAAAAAAAAGTATGGTATAAAAATACTGTTGCAGCAAACATGTTTCAAATTTACTTGGTTAAAATTAGTTTAAAACTGTCATAGTGTGGTTTATGAACAACATGGGTAACTGTACCTGTAACATTGGTAAGATCTTTACGCAAAAACTCCATAGCATGTGGATGGTCATGTTCTACAGATTGTGACACATCGATGATATATGCCTTGCCTTTACAGTACCTTCAACATAAGTAGATAAATATTGTTTTTTTTTTTAAATCAAACGTTCCTAAATCACATTACATTAAGCAATGGCCAATAGATTTCAACTCACAGCATATTGAATTCACTAAGATCACCATGGATAAGTTTGCACTCGTGGTAGAGTCTGCGCACCATCAGGATGATATCAAGGTACAACTCTCTGGCTTTTGATTCTTGAAGTGTTGCATCCTTCAGTAAAGGAGCCGCTCTGCAAAGACAAAATGGTACTTTTAAACTACATGTCTCGTCAATTTATGCTTTACTAAATATTCATGGCAAAATGGTTACAAAAAAGTATATTTAAAAAAAAAAACAAAGTTTTATGATAGCTGAGTCACAAATTACATTTTCAAATATCTTACTTAGACTTAAAAGCTGGTCCAACAGAATCATCTCTAGAAAAGATGATTTAAAATCAAATACTTACACACCATCTTCTCCTATGAAATTCATCAGCAGTACATTATTCTTTAACAAGAGAGGCTCTGGGCATGGGATTTGAGCTTTGTGCATTCTAAAACAACAGAACAGAGGTTACTAGTATAAATAATTTGAATAGATGTGTTACAATTAAGTTGGGACGACTTCAAATTGTTGTTTTTTTAAAAGCAAATAAAAAATATATATAACTAATATTTCATGAAACATTTTAACAAACCTTAAGAGATTTCTCATTTCTTTCTCAGCCCAAAGTCGCACCATTTTTCTTGGATTTGATTTGCAATAACCATGTCGAAATCTGTCAAATTATGATGGAAAAGTGTGGCTATAATTAACATGTTTATAACTATTACAATAAATCACATAACACTATTAATTTTTAAAAATATTAATAATTGATCTAGATCATCTAAATCTTTCACTTAAAAAAAAAGGTTATAAAAGTTTCAATTTGTGATCACTGTAGGACAAAAAAAAAAAACCTAAGCTTAGCAAGGGACTTTTGAAATGATGCAGTTTTACCTGAATTCTCCACTAACATATCTGTCTCTGTCTTTGAATATCAATATTGATGTTTTGTAAATCTGATGAAAATATGAAACATTAAAAATGTGTTTTTGTAAAGAAATCTTCTGATGAAGTGACTAACAAAGCAAGCATAAATCATCCAGTAGAAATTTTGTCAATGCTAAAAAAAGTAAAGTTACTCTTTCAGACCTAACAGTCAATGGGGTAGATGTAGCAGAGTTCACCTGATCCTGTGACGTTAGCATAGGAAGAGATGACATGATTTGTTCTAGCAATTGTGCTATACTGCCCATTATAAATACCATATGACGATTAATTTAAAAAAAAAAAGTTCATCCAGTAAAAAAATGTATAATTTTAAACCAACTTTAATGGCTTTATCTGTGCCATCTTTAGCAGTAGCATGGTAAACATTGGCTTCTTTCCCTGTGCTGATGGCACCATTGATCTCCAGTAGTGTCCCTTTGCTGAGCATTCTGTAAAGGATCATCCTAGTTCTGGGGTCTAGAACTTGTTCAACAGTTGCTTGCTGAGATTTATCTCGTCGCCTGAGGAAAATATTTTTACACAGTAGTTCAAGCTGCCTAATTATTTAAACAGTAATAATTTTCCACAAACTAGTCATTAAAAAAAACATTACTACTTTCACATTATCAAGATTAAAGTTTATATTGAATAATAATCACAAAACAAACTATTAAGACATTAAAAAAAAAATTGATTAAATGATTACATACCTTCCCTTTTTGTACTCCCCTGTAAATAAACATCAAATAAGATAAGTAGGATTTTTTCAAATTCATTTAAAAATGTGATAGATTAAATTTTCAAAAAATGTATTTACAGTGAACAGAGTGCTTATAGCTAACTGATTAAGCTAAACGTTTTAGACAACATACCAACACTGATTTTATTGACTTGTGTGTGGAGCTGCCCATGGTTTGAATGCTGAGACTGAACCTAGAAAAATATATTTAGAGTAACTGCTGACACTTTTTAATTCCAGGAGGACAGGTATTTAAAATCTGATTACATTCAGATATGGCCATGGCCTTACTTTTTAAACAGAGTGTTTAAATTTTTAAAAGTGTGGTGTAATGTTGTTATTATAATGAAAGTTGGACTATAAGACATGCTATATTATAGCATTGTTATAGAAACTAACTAATTAAAAATCATACATTCACTTACATTAAAATCTCTAGCAAAAAAAATCATACATTCACTTACATTAAAATCTCTAGCAAAATTTGTATTTAAGTCTCTCAACTCTTCAAAATCATCATCGTCATCATCATCATCATATTCTTGATATCTGTTACAATGTTCACCTAATAGAAATTAAAAATTGTTTTTTTTTATCAAACAATTTAAATTTATTAACTAGATCTCAAGAACTAGATTATCCTTCAACTAACCACCAAAATCAAGTTTAATCACATATGTATTTTCCACTTGTACTTTTATAAAACACATACTAACTAAAATGTCAAAGTAATTAATGTCATTAAAAATAATCTCACCATAAAATTCTGTGCCAAAGACTCTGAAATCAATGAAATTAAAAATATAAGATGGTTTAGAAACAATGAATTTACACATATTGATAAAATCTCATGTTTTTCTGAAACTAAAAAGATCTTTGAATATCAGACTAAATTACAACATTAAGATTTAAAGACCCAAATACATTAAACTTTTATTCACAGAATGTACATGATTCCTGAGAGCCTCAAATTACATGATATCAAAATGTATCAATCAAGCGGCCAAGCCTATTAATTTTAGTACATTTTACATACTTGGAAATTTTATCTGCTGCTGTTTTATTTTCTCCACTATCATCAGAGTCAGCATCATCAAACTGTCCTTCAACTTCTTCATCTGCATCCCACTGTTCTTCTATTTCATAACTCATTTTCTAGATTTTGTAGGCTATAGAAGTTGAAATAAATCATTAAACAATTCACTTGTAATTTGTAACATTAGGCCATTATAAATACTACATACATAGGGGCCTAAACATTTTCACTGTTTTGAAAGGGTGTGGGGAAATTGCGAGATGCGAAAAGCGAAATGGCGAGGCGGGAAAATGCGAGAAGGGCGCGAAAACGGTTGGTCACGTGACTTTTTGTCTCGCACTTTACCACAACTCGATACTTACGCTGGGTGGTGTTGAAATGCGAAGATTTCTGCGAAAAATTTACCGCACCCGATTTTCAGTGGTTTTTGGTCCAGACTTCAAACACGTTTTCTTTACATTGTTAAAGCTTTCGATTTTTCGTCGATAGACATACTAATGATTTGTGAACTCCCCCCCCCCCCTCCCCATCTTTTGTGTCGATTTAGAATACCACCTTGTTCGAAACCGACGGAAATACCGCCGACGATAGATCAACTTCTTTCTTTTGTGTGGAACGCCGAAGCCGCCTGATTTACCGTCTTTGAAGATCGCTGTGCCGCCGCAAACATATTTTGTATTGTTGCATAGAAATGTGTGGCATCACACTATAAAAAAGCAATGTTAGAAAAACGATTTTAGATGTTTTTCGCATTTTAGAAAACTGTTTTAATAAATTGTAATAGGAATTGATTAAATTACTGTTTTTGACAGAAATTAGACAAGATTTTGGGAAAATATCGATGTTTTAAAAAAATTCAACTGCAATTTTGAGGGGGGTTGTAGGCTGAGGTGTGACGTCATTTTAGGGGGGGGGTTCTGGATTTTTGTGAAAATGTGTTACAGAGGGGAGGGGGAGGGGGGTAAAAATCGTCATTTATGGATGACCCCTTTTAGCTATTAAATGGTAGTTTTGTCGATAGCGGACTTTATTCAGATTATCTACAGACGCACATTTTTTTCCATTATGTTCATATTTGTGTTCTGTGTTAGCACAGTATAAATGGGAGTCTAATGAACTGGGTTGGATGTACTATGTGTGAAAGATGGTGTGACGAGGTGTGTTTGATTAATGCTAGGACTGTTTCAGAAGATTTTGTTTGTAAATTTTGTTTGTAATTAAAATTACTTAATAAAAAATAAATTACACTTTTTAGAATTGTTTATACTTTTACACTTTTTGCAAGTACAACAATCCATGCATACATGTTGCAGAATATCTCTCCTGCTGACAAAATTATACCAATTCACAATGACACAGCTCACGTTTGTATAAACATGAGCGGGCTAGATTTTTAAAATTAATGCCGACTGAGACGGGATTTTCCTCTCGCTAACGAGAACGGACGATGACAGTGGCACAGCAACGATGTAAGGATTTTTTAATAGATCTAGATCTAGATATAGATCTATCTATCTTCTTAGGGTAAAACTCCATTTTAGCGTAATTTATTCTCCGTTGCTTGTTTACCCCCAGTTGAGCGTATTTTATTATAACAACCGAAACACACCAAAACATTAGGAAAACACGATTTATTTTTTGTATTGTATTTTTGTTTTAGCAAATGAATAAAATGAATGTTTAAAAAACACGACTTATTTATTTGTATTGTATTTTTGTTTTAACAAATGAATAAAAAACAACAAAGAGACTGACTGAAGTGCTTTGTTTGTTGGTTACAAAAATAGAGATGCACACTTTGTACAATTAAGTGTTCCAATTTCAACTAAACTGAATAAAAGTATTAAAAGGCACAATGATGCTGCCGAAAGTGGGCCGAGGGGGGGGGGGGGGGGGGGGGGGTGGAATTTGGTGACTGATGGCTTGGAGTGTTAGAGAAAGTGTGACAACTCACGGTGTCATTTTAAAAAAAATAATGTTAGAGGTCGTCCATAAATGACGTCACACTCGTAGGGGGAGGGGGGGTCCGTAATTTTGTTACGGTGTGTGATGAGAAGGGGGGTTCAGATGGTGCTACGTCATTTTGGGGGGGGGTCTTGCTTTTTGTGACGACACGCCTTTTTTTACGATTTTTACCTCCCCCCTCCCCTCCGTTACACGTCGTCACAAAAAGTCAGACCCCCCCCCCTAAAATGACGTCACACCTCAGCCTACAACCCCCCCCCCCCTCAAAATTTCTGTTGAATTTTTCTTAAAACATCGATAATTTTTCCAAAATCTTGTCAGAACTCTGTCAACATAGAGTATTTTGATCAATTCAATTTACAATTTATTAAAACCGTTTTCTAAAACGTGAAATAACGGCTAAAACTTGTTTTTCTAACATTGCTTTTTTATAATGCAAAAAAGGGACGTCACACCATCTGAAACCCCACCCCCTCCCCCTCATCACACACCGTCACAAAATTGCTGACCCCCCTCTCCCTTACGAGTGTGACGTCATTTATGGACGACCCCACATCAATTTTTTTTTAAAGTCAGAAATTTACTCATACAAAAAAGGGAAGGATGGTAGATTTACTATGAATTTAAATAACATACAACTCTATAGTAAAATATTTTTTTCAGTTTTAGCAAAACTGTCAAATTAAAAAACACAGAGTTTGTACATTTATTGCATAAATACAAAAATATAAAACAGAATGATTAACAGTGTATCAGTTTCACCATGAGACAAATGCCTTTTCTTTAAAATACAATAAAAATAAACAAGTCGTGCTTTTTAAATATTCATTTTTATTCATTTGCTAAAACAAAAATACAATACAAAAAATAAATCGTGTTTTCCTAATGTTTTGGTGTGTTTCGGTTGTTATAATAAAATACGCTCAACTGGAGGTAAACAAGCAACGGAGAATAAAATACGCTGAAATGGAGTTTTACCCTTCTTAGTATCTATCTATATATGTATATAATTTTAGTATATATAATAAAATCTAGATAAAAAAATAACAACATACAACACTCGTGTTAAAGGGTATGGCTACATGCTAGTTTATTTTAAAACAAAAAAAAATAATTTAAATAAATAAAGATGAAAAAAGCATGAAAAAAAACTTTTTTTCGCAAAAAGTGTCTTGCTATTTAGTATTTACCCTTGATTCCGCAGGTATGTCTCGCATTATCTTCTCGCACTTTCCCGCCTCGCCATTTCGCTTTTCGCGTCTCGCAATTTCCCCACACCCGTTTTGAAATTTAATCAGTACACTCAGTAGGCCTACCCACTAATAAATAACACTAATACTACTAATAGGCCTATATTTTTAATATAATATTAGTAGTAGGCCTAGAGTCTACATATTAGGCTACATATTATAATCTAGATTTAGAATCCTATAATAGACCTCTAGTATAGCCGTAGCCTAGAGAGCTAAAGTTCATAAAAGTTGTTATTTTTTTAAGTTTTTAAAAATAAAAACTAAAAACAAAGAAATTAAAATTAGGCCTACTAATTACTAAATCTAGAATAATCTAGACTAGAATCTAGGGTAATCTATCGTTTTGGGTACGTAAAATCGCCCGCGGCTATTAATGTACGAAAACGTTACCTCATTGTCAAGGCTTTAATAGAAGTATATTGTCATGTGTTTGTGTCAAATATTATAGATAAATGAATAATAAACCTAAATCAATGGCTAAATATATCGATATAGGCCAGAAATTAACTCTAAACAGCAGTGTCTGAGAGCAAGATTTGCTATATAAACAGCAGCCATTTGTAAAATAGAGTGACTTCCCCCTGAATCTCCCGCTAAAAGCTTATAAAAATAATACTTAAACAAGATGGCTGCTATAGTAAATGAGCATGGTTGCATCTGTTGGAAACATCGCTAGTCTTCATTTATTACGGAAACGTTTTAATTCAATTGTTTAAAAACAGGTACATAAATGAAACAAGGAAACATTTTTGTATTTTAAAAAACATAAATCCTCCTCAAAATGTGAAATAATTATTAAAATTTAAGGAGTCACCTGGTGTTCACATTACAAGTCGCGGGCGATTTTACGTACCCAAAACGATAGATTACCGAATCTAGATCTAGATCTAGACTAGATACTACTAGTACTAGATTCTAGATCTAGATCTAGGTCTAGATCTAGATCTAGTGAAAATTCTAGACTTAGAATTTAGTTTAGAATCCTAGTAGATCTAGATCTAGATTTCTAGATCTAGATTCTAGAACTAGATTCTAGATCTAGATCTAGGGCTCTAGCTAGATCTAGACTTTTTATAAATGTTACAAAACGTAATATTACTAAAAGAAATCCTGGGTCGAGTTCTATTAAAATAACGTCTTTCCACAAATTAATCTTTTGATTTTAACTCCTGGTGATTGAGCAACGTGTTGCAATTCTAAGTTTCTTTCGTATTGTTTATATAAAATCTCTAGATTCTAGATCCAGAGATCTATAAATAAAACAGAGAAAAACCGTTAGCTTATTCGCAAAAGAGTGCCAGAACGGAAGTAATGCTAATTGGAAGCAGGGGGAATAATAAAATAATTGTTTTAATAGGCCTAAACAATTATTTTATTTTATAACGGTTAAGCTCCACATAGGCTACAAAAGTACAAGTAGTCACCGAGGCCTTTTTTCACACTGGCCGTTATTTTAGAAAAAAATCAACATTTTAATAAAATAGCCATTAAATATTAAAGACATTGAGTCTAAAATAGTATTTAAAATAAGGAAAAGAAGATAGAATGAGAATAGAATATATGAATGAATCCTGCGATCATCTATATATATAATTCTCTTCTGGGAGCCGTTAGAAAACAAGCTGCAAGCGCCTCCTTGCAGTCCCCTCTCTTTCTCTCTATCACCATCACTACCACCACCATATCACCCCCACATTGTCTGGTGAGCTGTGGTCACGCTGTTTACATTTTACAATCATAGAGACGGGTTTGGTGACGGCTATTAGGGGCAGATAATTTAGTTTGAAACGATTTTAAACTTAGAGGAGGTAACTAAGAGGAGGCTGCTTTCGCGTGGGGGGGGGGGGGGTTAGTGTTTTTAAGCAAATATTTTCAGTGGCAGCATTGGTACTGTCGAATTCACAAATTATGAATTACTGAAAAGTAGAAAAAAAGCAACTAAATAGCGGCGTATGATACGCAGCGGGTCGGCTCGTTTAGTTTAGTTGGTCAAGAAATAGAATAGATCTATATTCTAGATCTAGATTTCTAGATCTAGATCTTTTTGTTTTTACAAGCTTTTATTTAACTTGCTTCCTCGTGCTTTCCTTCTTTTTTTTTTCGCGCTTCGTCCGTCATGAATCGAACTGGCGACAGAAATATCAACCACATCTACCGGACCGAATTCTTTTAGTTGTTTTTAGTCATGCTATTTTTTTTTTATTAAAATGTTTGAAGTTTTGAAATTTAGGCCTACGTATTTGAACTGTCATCTTCCGTGTTTATAGTTTTTGAGATCCGCATACAAAAATAGCAACCAAACATGGCACCCACCAAAGGTGTCTTGCTGGCACATTCAGACTTTCCACTTTATGCTGTACGCGCTCTCGATGAAAGGCACTTTCTTGTGGCCGGTGGGGGTGGACAGGCGAAAACAGGAATCGCTAATGCTATTGTAAGTCTAGATCTAGCTTTTTTAGATCAAGAAATCTAATTTAGAATTCTAGATCAACAGTTGTTTGTAAATCTGTGCAGGCAGACTGAACGTTGAACGGAAAAAAAGTCACAGGAAAAAAATGCACAGAAAAAAAGTCACAGGAAAAAATCAGAAAAAAGTGTCTGTTTATTGCTTGGAAGGGGGTTGGCGTGGTCGAGTCGGTAAAGCTCATGGTTGCTAAACCTAAAAGTCTTGAGTTCGAACTCCCGGGGCAGATGAGGCTCGTTTGCTGGGGACAGCCACTCCTCTACCTCTAGGGGAGAGACAACTCCAAAATTAAACAACTGCTGCCTTGTAGTTTGTTCTTGGTTGAACAAAGGCTATGGAAGCAAATCCAAAAAGAAAAGCAGGCTGAAATCGGAGTCAATGGCCTCAATGGCGCATAACCAGTTGACATGCATCCTTAATTGTGATGGAGGCGTGGTCGAGTCGGCATAAAGCTCATGGATGATAAATTCTAAAAAAAAGTCTCGAGTTTAAACCCTCTGGCAGATAAGGCTCGATCCCTTCCAACACAAAAAATTATGAACAAAGAAGATTGCTTAAAAAAAAGTCACAGAAAAAAGCCACAAGAATATTTTAAGAAATATTTAATTTTATTGTTGAGAATTGTAAAATTTTGGGTGTTTATGTGGGTGGTATTTTTGTTACCAATTATGGTGGCATATTTAGATCTATAAACGTTAAAAAATATTATGGTTTAAAACAATAATAAGTAAAAATACTATAAGATAGTGAATCTAGATTCTAGGGGCCTATGTACTTGTACTATTAACTATGTGTTGATTTGTATTGGTAGCTGGAATTTCCCAGTACTTCCTTCCTGATTTTACATTTATTAAGTGAAACAAATGGAAGCTATTTTCCAATTTCTTTTAAATTGAGATGGATACAAAAGAGCTAAGCTGAAATTTGACCAAAAAACAACTAAAAAGGCCTATTCAGAGTTAATTATCATTTTCCTATCCTGTCACCATGTGTCTGTCCTTATAAAGTTTTTTCCATTTCTTTCTCTCTTTGGTAACTTTCTTGGCTGTTCCCCAATGCGATCAGTTTTTTTTTTTGCCATCGCATCTTGCTACTTTTCTTTTCCCTTGTGGTATTCGTCTTACAGCTGCTGCTGAAATTTCTTCTTCATCTTCTGTACAAGGCACATCCAACACCATCTTTCTTACTCAAAGTAGTCAAATGGCTACTATTTCCTCAAGTAACTTCTCCTATGAGATGGTGTTGAGCCAGTGGATGCCTTTTGTCCTTAACATTCAATTAACTGCTGATGTTGGTAGAAAAAGATAAATAGGGACAAGTCTACATCAGTCAACTGAGATTTACACATTTCTAAATGTTAAATGCATTCAACTTATAAGTTATAGGCCTATATAATTATATAGTGTAACATTTCATCATGTAGAAAGGGCAACAAGCAATGAAAAATTGAAAGCTGGTATTAGTGCTAAAAAAATCAGCTTTTTGTGTAGTTATTTAATTCCCTGTGAGAACAAAGTTTAGAATAATTTTTAATTTATTTTAATGCACTATTGAACTCATTTTGCCCACAGGAAATTTATGAGTTGAAGTCTTCTCAAGGTAATATTACATGCTCAAGCATCAGCCGCCATGAAACAGGAATCCGTGCTGTGATGAACTGTGCGTCTCACTATGATGGTCGGCATCACCATTTAGCAACTGGGGAGGATGAATTCTGTTGCACCTATTCTGTCAAGTATAAAGTCATCAGCCCGGAAACAGAAGTAGCAGGTTAATAAAACTTTATCTCACCTTAGTAAGCCACTTTGTATATTTTTTAAAATTGTACATGTTGTGAATGCTGTTTATTAGGTCCATATCTGTTAAAAGAATATTAAATATGTAGTTGATCTTAGATGTCTGTGTTTTTATCAATGGTTTTACCCCATTTTTTTTCAAAGATAATCTGAAATCACAAATCACTTGGTAATTATTTATACTGTGGTTTTAAAAAAATGCTGCAGTTGAAAATTAAATTGTTTAAGCATTATGACATTAGACCTTAAAATATGTCTGCAGAGGCTCATGATGGTGTTAAACAGAGAAAAAATGAAAATTCTCAAGTGGGCAAAGATTCATCTGACCATGGAGTTAACAGCTCCACAAAGCAACTCACATTCCATGTAGAGGAAACTGGCAAAGTCGTCTCAGACTTCACAAATGATGGCGGCTTTCAGAAATGTGTTCGCTTTTCCCCCCTGATGACTCACCTGGTGACTGGAGGTGCTGATGGTCATCTTCGTTTATGGAGGGTGAGGATTCAGTCTCCGTTAATTCTTTTTAAAATTCTTTTTGTTCTGGTTCTCAATACTGGATTTTCTATTTCTTTAAATAATGATTAGTTGAATATCGGATTTATTTCATTACATGTGATATAACTATGTTTGTATTTATGATATATTTGATTTATAGCATGTTCAGCTGATTATCTTATTTATTTCAGTATCCTGAGTTAGAAAAAGTGTGGGAAGTGCAAGCACACAAAAATGAAATAGATGATTTAGATTTTAGTCCAGATGGCTCAAAGGTAGATGAAGAAAAATCTTTGTACTGTTTTGACAGTTTTATATTGCTTCATGCAATATTAAATGGAAAACAAAATTAATTTTGTCAAATTAAAATATTATTTTAAAATTTGCAATTTTATTATAGAAAATCAGCCCTTTCTATTTGTAAAAACTAAAGCTTTGTTTTAAGCTATTAATTTAATCCAAATTATAATTATTTTTAATTCCGAATTTAATGAATACTTTAGATAATTACAGTATCCCGTGATAAAAATGGTGTGATTTGGAAAGCCATAGATGGCCAAAAATTGTCAGAATTGATATGGAACCAAATAGTACCAGAGCCTTACAGGTTTAAATCATGCAGGTAGGTTTGTCTATTAATGGGCTTCTTAAATTAACCTTCACAGTACACCGTGTTTGTAATTTACCCAGTCTTTTATCAGGGTACAAAAAACTCATTTTGTTGGACTTGCATATTATCAGTTAAAGGCTGTTAAAAATAAATACCCCTGTTTTAAGTGGAAAACAAAAAAAGAAGGAAAAGTAAAACTTTTAATCAATTTTTATGAAGTTTTTAAAATGACTTCCAAAATCTAGGGACATTAGTATGATAGTTTCGGCCTTGTATAAGTATTACGCTCTGCTTTCCATTTCATTTTGGAACCAGGTATAACACAATTGAAAACAGTTCAAATGTAATAGTCAAATATAATTTCTAACTTCTACAGAGAAACAGTGAACATTTAAACGAAAAACACTGACTACATGTTACCCTAAGTTGACGATGCACCACACACTGATTACGCACTACAGTTCACACACTTCTAAGGGGAGGCCACTATCACACTACAATCTCTCCGTGCCTACACGCTTTCGTTATGAACATCTAGGCCATGTCACAATAAGTTAATGAGGCGGTAGGGGGCTAGACTGCTAACCTGAAAGTCTCAATTTCAATTCTGAGTTCAAATCAGTTGAATGTCCCTGGGTCCACCCAGCTCTAATGGGTACCTAATTCATGTTCGGGAAAATTAAGATGGCTGGGCATAATACTGACCACACTATCCCTAACTAAAACTATCACTAAAACATGAACCCTACTTTATCTGCCCCATGGTAGAGAAAATAATAGTCAGCTCAAGATTAGGCTGATTCAGCAGATTTTTGTTTTGTAAATACATTTTTTGTAAGTTACCTTATAGAAACAGTAAACCTCAGATAATAGTTTTGAATTTACTTATTGATAAAGCTTTATTTATCAATGATAAATAAAGCTTTTCTAAGATGCACATTATGAATATTCAGTCATTTTTGTTTTATTAATAGAGATGTGTGGCCCCCAATTGTTTTATGCCTTCTTATATATTGAGTATAAATATTAACGGCTTGTTTTTTTAATAAAAAACATTTTATAATTGGATTGATAATCTGTAAAAGTAAAATTTACTTGTATAGAATGTCAAATTGTTAATGATATTTTCTGAAATGTAGTATTCTTTATGCTTTGTTACAGATATGGTCTCATAGAAGGTAAAAAAGACAAGTTCAACTTTTACACAATCAACATTCCTGTCACAAGATCCGACAGACTTCCCTGTTACGTTTCTATGTGGGACAGTAGCAAGTTTATACTCAAGAAGACAGCTAAAGTAGGGACAGAGGTGGTCTCCGCCTTTGCTGTCAGGTAAATGCAATGTTTATCCTATTTTTTACAACAGTCCACCACTAGGATTGGTAATGTTACTAACAGCACTGCAACTTTTGAAGTAGTTATTTATGTTTTTGAAACTAATACACTTAAGTGATTTTTATTTATTTTTAGCTGCTTTTACAGATTTAAAAAAAATGTTTTGTTGTTGTATAAATTGAAGATGTAGACTTAAGTTTTTTGTGTACTATGACTTGGTGATTTTAAAAATTTTCATTATCAACCACGTCAATGTAAAAAAGTGTGTTTTCATGCAACTCATTTTTAACACCACCCTATTCTTTGAGTTGTGTCAATTTTTTAGGAATGTGTGAGAATATCAAGAAAAGAGGTGGTGCTTTATTGTGATAGGGTTATTTTAGGTTTTGTTTTCATAAAAATCTGTTGATGTAGGAATCATATTAAAATACTTTTTTAATTTGTTTGCAGTGATGAAGGAATCTATTTAGGCATTGGCTCAATCTCAGGGAGTGTTTCTGTGTATGTTTCATTTAGTCTTCAGGTAACATCTCTTTGTATTTCATTCATTTTCAGTTCTGTTTTTGTGTAAATAATATCAATGCTTATGTAGTAGTTGTAGTAATAGATACTTTATGTGTTAGTCTTTGTAACGCCTTTTTATTTTATTTACTAAATACTTTCAAAATTGATCAACATATTTGACATGGTTTCTGTTCCTCTAGAAATTATATTACTTGAAAGAGGCCCACAGTATATTTGTCACTAGTGTAGAGTTCCTGCCATGTTCAGAGGCCACCAAAGCTATCACTGGAAACCAAGACTTCAACCTGTTGAGTGTCTCTGCTGATAACACTATCCGCCTTCATCAATGCCCAGAAAGATGTAAGTTGTTTTATACTTTCTTGGATACAGAGTAAAAGGAAGTTTTGTAAAAATGCAATTTAAAAAAGAAGAATTAAGATTTTGAAAAATGCAATTTTGTATTTGTGTGTGTTTGTGAACTCGATAACTTTTTCAGTTATCTTGGTGCAATTTCATATATAAGTATTAGATCCTAAATGTTGTTTGATTAAACTTGTAAGCAATTTCCTGTGATGGAATATTTTACTTTCTTCTGATGTCTCTCAAAAACTTCAGAATTTGCTTATTTTATTTCATATTCTTATAAAGCATTATATGCCAAGAATATTTCTCTGTTCTGTGGTTTCTCAATAAACTAGTGGTCTCATCACAAACATTCCTACCATTTCTATAGCCAGATTTCCACTGGAAATTCCAGCCAAATCCTTTCTGCTACATATTATACTAATTTATATGAATGCATAAGGAAATGTATTCACACTTTTATTTTGTTCATTGTTTAATTGCTACCAATACCAAATTACATTTAAATGTTCACACGGCTTGACAATTAGAAAATATGTATACAAAATATGTTTTCAAATATTAACAAATTTTTGTTTTTGTTTTCCACAGCTACAATGCATCCAATCTGGCTGATAATTTGTTTGGTAATTGTACTCTATGCTGTCTTTTACCTTATGTCAGAGATGGGACTTTGACATTGCGTTCCTTCTCATTATGTGAAAGTGGAAGACTTATTCCACCTTTAGGATGAAAATGGTAAATAATTACTTTCTGTTACTGAATCTATTAAAACTTATCTTCCAGATATTGTTGGTCAAAATAAAAGTGCATTATTTTAACACAACTTTTATTAAATGTCATTTTAAAATTTTTATTTTTGCTCTGCCGATCCTGTGCAATAGCTGTCACTAGCAATTCAATAACAGCAACCACTGAGTAATATCATTCATTAGCAGCTGTAAACAATTCATCCTTAAAGGTTAACAATAAAACTCTTATATTCTATCTTATATTTAGCAACTAAGATGAAACTTCATAATTTTTCTTTTTATATAAAGTAATGGTAAGCTTTGATCATGTTTTTTTAACAATGAAGGGAATTTGAATGGTTAATTATGTATTAAAATATTTCTGCAAGTATTATTAATTATGTTTGTCTTTATAATTACACCTAAACTATTATGTAAATATGGTTTTAAAAAATTGCATTCCATCTATAAGTCATACCATAAGTTTGTCATCTCTATAGCTTTATGTAAAATTGTATGAATCTCAGAAATTAAAGCAGATGAAAGTGGTTGTTTGTGTCCTCCTGGAGTAATGCATTTAATGAAAGCCTTGTATCCAGAGGTTGTGTATGATGAGATGAGTGGTAAAACTCAGTCAAGTTAATCACTCTTGGTTTTGTCATGGGTCTAGTAGCATGAACAGATATGTGGGGGTGAAGTCAGGCTAACTGGAGTATAAGATACCAGTTAACATGGCCTCCATGGGGCTCATATTATGCCTTACAGGAATACTGGGTTGCTTTCACTTTTATCAGTAAATCAAAATAAATTTTGAAGGCCAGCTGCGCATTCAGATTAATTTATTAGTAGTAAATTTGTGTTTTATAAACATGTTTATTTATTTCACAATACTTGTCCTGTTGGTTTTTTTTGGTCATGATTTTAAATTTTTTTGCTTATGGATGAGCATTTTTTTTTTTTAGAGTTTAAGTCATTTTACGTCTTACAAGTTATTTAGGGGTTAAACTTAATTTGATCGTAACTGATGTTAAAAATAAAAAACTTTTAAAGCTGCAGTTATCTCCAATTTGTTTTCTATCCTTGTGTCCTCAGTATTTGACCAAATGTAACCAGGGTGAGACAGTTTTTCAGTGTTTTAATACCCTGTTAACTTCCATAAGACCTGTTTAAAATTATATTGCTTTGATAATCCCTTGTAGTTATTTATAAACTATAGATTGTATGCTGGTCTCTGGTTTAATATGTGATTTTTAGCTGTAGTACCTTGATACATGTTAAAGGCATTCAAAGCCTTTTTTTTATCAATTGAAATTGAAGGATTTAACAATACTGTAACTGACTTTTTACCTGATAATTATTTCTTGAGGGTTTTGGCTGGTTCACATGATTCAGTTGAATTAATTTTCATAGTATGTTATGTAGCTATATATCTTTTTTGAAACAAATATCAAACATATATTTACTTTATAAACTACTTAAAAAATACAAAGTTGTAAATCTCTAGTTTTGGGCATGATACGAATTAAAAAATACCTAATGAATGAGTTATCTGGTTTTTTTTTTAATAATGGTCAACTGATTAGTGCTGGCTGTGTTAATTTTAAAGGCAGATAATTCTGTTCTTAACATTTGATTTTTATTTGATCTGGGTGTGTGAGTGATCAATTTGTTTTACATTTGTCATTTATATTTCATTATTATTTAATGAATTGATTCATGCCTTGTTTTAAAAATATTTTTGACATTAATTTAAGTTATAGTTTTTAAAATTAAAATACTGTTAACAATAGGTAAAAAATAAATGTTTTATTCCATTTTTGTTTTGTGTTGATGAATTTGAAAAAAGAACTTTAACATACTGGTTGTTTGTATTCATTTCTTAACCAAAAATATTCATTATTCATTTTGAGGTCTAAAGAATAGAAAATTATGAAATTGCTTCAGACAAGTTCTTATTAATGCTGGAAAATAAGGTCTTTCAAAGTGGAAAAAAAACCACCAGATGTTGTTTATTTTTGTTAGTCACTAGCAGTAAAAAAAAAACCAATGTGTGTAAACCTATCCTTGTAGTGTTGTAGTATCTGTGTAATGTGTCCTCATGTACCCTCAAGGATGTAATGGTTCATATGAGCCTTGAAAGTAGAGTACTTGTTTTTCTCTGTGACATCAACATCCAAACTAATTGTGTTTTGAGCATTTGTAAATAAAATTTATTTAGGCTTTTATATTAATAAATGTAGATTAAGTAATAACAGCAATATATTTCAAATATCAGCAGCTGATACCCATAAATAAATATATATATATATATATATATATATATATATATATATATATATATATATATATATATATATATATATGCTTCATTTGCAATTAAAATTACGCTAAGTATATATAGACAAGAGACTTTTTAATATTTCTTTTATTTATTGTTTAGAAACCACAATGTAAATAACAGCACAGTTTATTATCCAGAATATACATTAAATGCATTAAAAAAGAACTGTTGAATGCTGTGGTATTTCGATTCTTTAAGTTAAGAAATAAATAAAAATAACACTAGCCCTTAGACTACAAAACACATGGTATTCTTGTATGGAAGCTAACATAATCTAGTAATTTAAATTTAAAACCAATTGTAAATTATTTCTTGTACTGACTTCTTAGGAATGTTTACTTACACTACAGGTTTGCTCTAGTAGTAGTACTTTGCAATACTTTTAATAATACCACCTAACTGCTAAAAGTAAGACAGTATAATTTCGTTGTATTTAAAATAGCCTAATTGATATGTCCTAATGACTAGTACTATTTATAGCTGAATTGTCACATTAGTTACACTTCTCAACAGACAACATTGAACAAATAATTACTTTAATTTATTACTTGAACAAAAATGAATGTATAGAAAGACAATTGAGATACATTAAGTGGGTTCCAGTATAAGCAGTACATTTTTCTCTCATCTGCCCACTGTCAACAAGTCATGGTTAGCATATTTAAATATAACAAATGATGGATTTAAAAAGTTTCTTCGGAACAACATAGACAAAATACAAATTATAAAATGTAGATATAATTTACATTTAGTTAGTATGCCTTAGTTTAAACAGACAGTTTACATAAAATTATGCACTGCTTAGTATTGCCATTTTTTTATCAATAATTAGGAAGGAACTGAGGAAGTTTTTTTAAATAATTTACTGGCAAAAATACCTTGTTTTATTTTGTTGTTTTATTAAACAGTAAATAATGGGTTATTTAAAAAAAAACCCTGTTCATCATGTATTTTATTTTATGAAAAGAAATGAGCATGCATTTATAAAATGTAAACCTGTGTAATACGTTGGCACTAAAAGTTGACATGGGTTCAATGATAACAGTACTAGACACCAGAGCATCGTATTTGGCACAAAGATAAAAGACACGAAGATGGTACAGCATAAATGGTAAGAGTTTACCAGGAACAAAGGTCAAAGTTGTAACAGTAGCCTATATGGGCATATATGGTTATTTACGTATTGTTACATTGGTATATGAGATGATTGAACGGCAATAACATTGATATATTGGCTGGGGATCTCAGAATAATGCGCAATCCGAAAAAAGCGCCAACAGAAAAATGCGCAAAAACAAAATAATTATGCTAATACTATTTAAGTAATACACTTTAATTTTGTCATATTTCATGGAAACATGTTTTATTATGCTATATAGTATGTGTAGTCACTCTTTGTTAATTTCTATGATTGCTCGGTTTTAGAAAACAAAAATACCCTTGTGCTTTTTTTTGTGTGCGCAGATTTCCGTTGCGCATTTTTCCTGTCATTTGCTGGACGTATTGTATTACATTCATTTGGACAAACAATATTCAATATACCATAAACATTTTTTTAAAAAAAGATCTTGTAACTATGTACAAAAATGTACACACTCGTTCGAAACATGGTGTATTACAATTTAATTTTAAAATTTCATTGTTATGTGGAGAATATTATTGAATCCAATATAATCCTAACATACCATCTGGCCATTGCAAATTCTAATCTATTCTAATTGCTACTAAATAATACTGATCATTAGCAGCTGTTAATGTTATAGTTTATGATAAATAAGGTTAAAGCATTTCTACACATAAATAATATATATGTATTCTTATATATATATATATATATATATATATATATATATATATATATATATATATATATATATATATATATATATATATATATATATATATATATATATATATATGACGATTGTTTATGTGGTCTCCTGCCTGAAAAGATCACCAAAATGAACAAAACAAAATTTACAATCCGCTTACGATTTCCTTCTTAAATACCCGTTTATATTTACAGTTAAATAATAATATTAGATTTGAATACAGCCAGAGGAAATAGATATTCAATATACTGTTGAGGTAAATTACCCAAAGTCGGAATTTTTTAAAAAGAATGTACATTGTACAGTCTGGCATCCGAATAGAACAAGCCTCGAGGTACTGTCTGTTCAGTATTGCGTGTGTGTAGCAGACGTTAGCGCATCTCCTCCGCCATGGCAGCGTGAGCAGAGATCATCTCTTTCTTCCACCGGCACTTGAGCGGGAATGTCATGATCTGGTGCTTACCGTCCGCCTGACCCTGGTCCCCGAGGGTCCACGCCGCCGTCCTGAAGCTGGAACTGCTGCTGCTGCATGTGTCGGGCGAGGACTCCCTGGCCGTGTCTCTGGCGGGGGTGGAGCGCTCGCTCTGGTCGCTGGTTAAGTCCAGCGCTCCGGATTTATCAATCCGGAGACTGCTGCAGCCGCTGTCGCAGGTTCTGGAGCTTCTGGAATCGATGCTTAGACCTCGACTTTCGGTCGTAGAGCTGCCGGGGTTGGTTCTGTAGCGCACGGCTGGGCCGAGAGTTTGGTTGAGGGCGGTGACGCTACCCATGCTGTAGACCCGGGAGTCGTCGTTGGAGCTGGAGTCTTCTGACCCTGCGCTCTGCCGCTCCAGGTCTTCGTCTTTATCGTCATCTAACGCCGGCGACCGTCTCGGTGACGTGCCTTGTTTAGCAAAAGGAAACTCCCCGTAGGAGAATGTCTTTTCTTCAATGCCGAAATGTCTTTTCAGAGCGGCCATTTCGTGTTTGAGTTCAATGTTTTCTTTCTGTAGTTCTAGAAGTCGTGTTTCCATTAATTTTTCCAAAGCTTTGCGCTTTACTCGCGATCTGCGCGCCGAGTCGTTGTTCTTGAGTCTCTTGCACCAGTACCCTTCGTCTTTCTTCTCGTCGGGGACAAACTCTCTCTTGGCCCGCTGCTGGGCGCTCATTGTCTGAAGCTCCATTGATTTCATCCCTGGGATTCGGCCATTTCCGGTCATCACCCCGGGTAGACCTAGCGTACCACGTGATGATTTAAAATTATAGTCAGGCGACACGGGCGAGCGCGGGGATTGTCTGGGCTCTATAGGAGACGAGGGTGTCGATGAGTCACTTTGGTGATTCCCCGGGGGTGAGCGATGGTCGTAGTTCTGCTGGTGGTTGTCTTGGCTGGTGTAGGGGAAAGGGAAGCTGCTACAGCGGGATGGTGCGGGCTGGGCGCAGGCGTATCTAGCCGACACCGACATGTCCACGGGCCGACCGGCGTCCGAACAGTTCTCTGAGGGCTCTTGTTTGACGATCGCGTCCAGGCTGTCGTACGCTTTGGACTGGGATAGGAAAAAACGGGAGCTTGGTGCAGCGTAGGCTGTCGTCATTGTCTGTAGACTCACAATAGTTGTAGTAGTGTGGCTCTCTGGTTCACAGACTGCGTGTTGACTTTATTCTTTGAGATCTGTACAAAGGAAAAATATAAACATTTTTAATGTCATTCAGATAATGAAATAGCAGTGTAATATAATATTTCTTTGATGTGTGACCGGCTATAAATGTGTAACATTAATAATTAAACACGCCATTTTTATGTAAATACCAATTAGCTGACTATTTTACCGAAAGAAGTAAAGCACTATAAAACTTTATGGCGCAGCTAGGGTGAGTCTGCGGGGGGTGGTCCACCCCTGACAACATTTTATATATTGTATAAATGGATTGACTAAAGTCTAAAGATGAAAAGAAATGCTGCACTTTCCACTGCATTATGCATCTTTGAACTACGACATTCCGCGCGATTAAAATATTTAAAAATAAAATTAAAGCTACGTGAAATTTACTGGCGTAATATTGTTCAAGTGTTGATGTCATCTAATGCATGCAGCACGTCGGCCCACTTGTGTGGCCTCAAACTGACCAGGTCAGTTTAGTGCTGTAAGGTGAAGCGGTTGCAATGATTCACTTGTGACGGCTTAAGATAAGCCCATGCGGTCACCTGAATAATTTGCTGAGTCATCAGTTTTTGCAAGGCCTTTCTAGTGTCTAGTAATGTAACTTAAATGAGGCGGTTATTTCAGACCTGGCTCGGCGTCATTATAAATATCTAGCTACGCCCTTGTCATTGAATGTAACCTAGCTCTATTGGGCGCAGTACTTGAGTACATTGTAGCGCTTTTATCTTTAGATTTTAATGAATGTTATGAAACATTTTCAATTTGAGTTCGGTGGTGTATCAGTTGATATAAAAATCATTTAGAAGCACTAATTGTATTTTTTTAAAAATTTTCGAATACTATAATTTGGCCATATGAAAACCACGTCTAGTGTATATTAGTATTATAAGCTTTTGATATATTTTGTTATAATCCTAGTACAGTATAACGTTTCTCATCAGGCGTTACTTTTTTTAAATCTTCAGATCAGTGTGAGATTTAGGTGCTGTAGTTAATATTAACAAGGTATCAAAACCTATATTGATATTCTGGTATTGGTGTCAGAATACGATAGTTACGATGTTAAACAATTCTCTTGTTAGCGAATGTTAGGTGTTTTCAACAACACCTGAGCGTAATGTTAACACACCTTATTGTAGAATGTTAACATTCAATTTGACCAACACAAAAGGATCATTAACAAAGTGGGGGAGGTGGTGGGGTCAAGAAGGGGTTACAGGATTTATTTTCTTTTGAAATCGATCCCGGTCCTGACCAGAATTGCTGATGACGTCATATCCGACTTGACCTTGATCCTGTGAAGATTATCCGCGAACCCAGGGAACGTTCTACACTACTTGACCTCTGATGTCAGCTAATTTCGACTATTTGCCTTTCGCCGACGGCCTGTGTTCGATCCACGTAACACATTTCAATATCCGGTGAACGAACAGCGCCGAAAGCGGCGCGCGCCTTACGCAACAGCCGACCATATCGCCTAGAGGGCTTGAGACGGTCAGTGGGAATGAGGTCACACCACGTAACGGACGAGAGTTGGTAACGTAGCCCCGAGCACCGCGAGACAGACGGTTGTTGTTGCCGCCGCCACCAGCGCCCCCTGCCGGCTGTACATTGGTCAGCTGACGTAACTCAGGGATTCCCAGAGTATGAACATTTGGGCTCTCTCATTTTAAAAATATTCTCATTGTTGGTAAACAGAGTTTCTTCCTTCCAGTCATCACTTGGAAGGGGGGGGGGGGGGAATTGCCCCGCCCCCCCCCCCTTTAGAATGTCTACCGCCCCCATTCCCGAATGAAATGGAATTTATATCGAAAATATATACTTTTACCAGTGTCCGCCCCCCCCCCCCCCGAAAATATCTAGTGCACCCCCGGAGAAAAAAAGTCTGGAAGAAACACTGTTGGTTAATATCACCAAATATATGCATGATTTTAAATATTAGTACAAAACTATTGTGTTTCTCTATAGATTTACGCTAACAGAGGTACTGGAGAGTCGTGTTTCGGCATTAAACAAAAAGATATAAACGACTAGTTTGGCATACATAAATAATATAGAATAATCAAAGATTGATATAAAGTTGAGGGGGCACAATGCTACAACAAAGTGTTATTTAGCAATGTTCAGCATAAAACTCGAGGGGAGCATACAGCTTCGTACATAAATAACGTCACGAAATTTTAAACCTCTGTCTCCCCACTACATAACGCTGAATGTACACACGTAAATAACGGCAAAGTCCACTTTACAGCTCCATTTCGTTTCCAATAAATAAAAAATAAAATTTAAAAAAGGGGTGGGGTGGAACTTATTCGCATCAGCCTACAACCCCACCCCCCTCCCTAGAATTACAGTTAAAATTTAAAAAAAATCTTTAATGGTTATCGATTTAGGTATATTAGCCAACTTCTGATTCAATTTACAAAAAAAAAAAACAGCTCCCCCCCCCCCCATAACATAATTCTTTACCCCTGCTCCCCTAGTAGCTTTAGTAGCTTGACGTCATTTAAAGACGACCCTTAATATATTAAACCGTACCTTTAAATAGAAGTTGTTTTTTTTTTTAATTAAACCACTGAGATCAAGCCTACTGTATTAAATTTTTCTTGAGTTAGAACCCCACCGTTCAGCTTTGAGAACCACTGCCTGTCTAGCGCCCTGCGGTCATCTCCCCCTTTTGTTCCGCCTTCCCGCGGTAACCAGTTAGGTAACCGCGAGGCCGCGCGGTCACGTGACGCTAAAAGTCAGCGCGCCCTGGTGTTACGCAAGACCCCCAATGTAACGACTGTTGACCTGAGGTTGGATAACTCCTCCTAATCTGATTAGCCAGACGCGAATGGCGCAACTGGCCATTAACTGACCAGATCCTTCTTGCCGTGGTCTACGCGCGCTGGTTTGATGCGTAACTCTAGTAGCTTTATGACCGGAGTTATGGGGCATGTTACCACATTACACGAAGCACCTGGTTTCATTAATTAACGTTGTCGTGTTAAAGGTAGTGAGGTTTTGGAATGAGATAAATCAATAAATCAAAGTCAAAATAAGTTTTATGATATTTTTTAAACATTACAACAATATATATATATATATATATATATATATATATATATATATATATATATATATATATATATATATATATATATATATATATATATATATATATATATTTACGCCCCTAGGCAATATAAATGGGGCCTATAGGATAAAGATATCGCTCCGCGTCCATTCCCCCCCCCCCCCCCCAAATTAACCTCACCTGTAAATGTAAAGCTTGCTCTATTTTGTACCCCACATGTCTTTGTGTTGTCAATCAATTATCGCCATCAACGCCGGTTCACATCATGACTCCCCCCCCCCCAACCCCACACCCGCCCACCCACAGGCAAGTACCCGTCTTAAAGTTGTCACTCTATACGACGGCTAACGAATACTGTGCACTATACCAGTTGTCACTTACATGTACACCTCAATACCGTTCATTAGTAGCTAATTTATTGTGATTAAGTATGGCTTTTTAAAAATGCAAGGTAAAAATAAAGCATTGAATAAAATGACTATCTTTAAATGATAGGATGTGTATGCCTACACATTTATTTTTGTGTGTGCAACGTGCACTAGCAAAATAATACATGATGCCGAGGATGGGACTGCGTGCATTTCTTTACTGTTCACTAATACAGCAGTAAGTTAAAGTTTTAGTCAAATCGGTTTAGACAGTTGTCTATTTCTTCTATTTGAAACTGTATTGAAAACATAACTCGCAAAGAAAAAACAAACAAATAATTGAAATAAATAGGACATCTCCATCTATCAGAGGGGTGATCACGTGAGCTTTGACCACGTGACCCCAGCGTCACTGCGACAGAAAGAGTAGCCGTCCATGGCCGAGAAGAAATACAGAGCAATATATTCCCCAAGTCACGTGCACACGGGCACGTGATACAGGCAGTGAGCGAGTCAACAGAGGGCGCTGCAGTTCGTTACGTGGTGGAGATAATTATTCCAGCCAATCACATACGGTGTTTTCAACATTACGGGCCTCTCTACTCTGACAAAACACGGTATTTGGTGCTTGAAATAAACCAAGATTACGTAATGCAAGGATTTTGTACTAACGAAAAACAACGACAGCGATGCAATGCTAAAATGATTGCCATAACACTAGGGTAATGTCAGAGTATGGATGCAGGTTAGACTTAACTGAAGTGTGAGTTAGGGATTAGACGGGTTTATATTTATGCAAAATTACGATTTAGATTACTATGTTGCTATGGCAATTAAAAACAATTCTTGTTTTTTTTTAATAGACTTAATCATGACTGAGGTCCGTTTTAGGTTCCGTATCTCTACCAGTATTGTTGTAATTCCAAAATTTAAAGTTTTTAAGGACGCACATCTTGCTCAGTTAAAAAAAAACACAGGTCGCTTACTATTAGTATCCTTACATGAAAATACCCGTCTAAAAAGATTTGTAACAATGTTGTTTTCTTCTATAAATAGATTCTCAAATCAACACAGTTATCTTAAAAAATAATTACCAGTACTTCAATGAAAGAACGGACTGTTTTTTTTTTTACCAACTAAAGTACAAGGGGGGAGAAAACTCTTAAGTTAAAAAAACAAATCTAAAAATAGCCACGAGTTACGTGGATGGTGAGCGGCTTGTTTACTGCGTGGTGCCGGTATCGATTTGAACTTGAACTCTTCACCGGCCTCATCGATTTCTGGTATCACAACATCTGAGACCAGACCAAGGCGTGGTACTTAATATCCTGCTGGTGCTATTTCCGTCAGGGAGTGGGGGGGGGGGGGGATAAGTTCGGAGTTGGGATATGTTTGGAGCTGGGGATAAAGTTCGGAGCTGGGATAAGTTCGGAGGTGAGATAAAAATCGGAGTTGAGATAAAGTCCGGAATTGGGAAAAATTCGGAGTTGGGATATGTTCGGAGTTTGGATAAAGTTCGGAGATGGGATATGTTCGGAGGTGAGATAAAGTTCGGGACTGGGCTAAAGTTCGCAGCTGGGATAAAGTTCGGAATTGGGCTAAATTCGGATTTGGGACAAGTTCTGATTTGGGATAAACTCGGAGTTTGGATAAATTCGTAGCTGGATAAGTTCGGGGCTGGGATAAATTCGGGGCTGGGTTAAGTTCCAAGTTTGTAACGGGGAAGATACAAAATTAGTAGGCCTACTCATAACCGACTTTTTTTTTACAAAGCAATTATTAGTAAAAGCGATAATAATCTAAGGAAAAAACGCTCTTCATTGAGGTGACGTTAAGTACATCACGTAAACATTTCGCTGTGTTTGGCTAATTTGTAGGCTAATCTTCTATAGCAATCGTTTAGTTTAAACAAATGTAAGAGACAACAGTTTTAAACAGTCATGACTCATGGTGAACAGCTGTTCTTTGACCAATATCCATCCAGATTGGGTGATGTTTTGGTGTTTCAAACCATTAAGGAATAAGACAGCATCAAAATTAATTACTTTTTTTTTTACAGAATAAGCTGAGTGGAATATTTTTAGAACATAACGTTGGTGGCTCCCATAGTGTTCTGGTTTGGAAGTATTTTTCAATGTTGTGAGGGAGGGGGGGGGATTAGAGAGTTGAGACCGCACGATCAACGACCATGATGCCGATTTAAAATAAAAATAAATGAAATTTGCCCTTGACATTGTGGAAGTGAAAACCATCTCGTGGCTAAGGGTGATAATCTTGGGTCGGGGTTTAAAACTGAGGCGACGTAACATGTGTATTCACGTTCCTGATACCACGCCAATGTTAAGCAGTCACGGACGGGTCATTAGTGTAAGACTGTTGTCAAACCAATCAAATAACTCAAGTCAGGTCAAGCATTAATGCATTAATGAAGATATAATATTAGTTTTTTTTAATTAGTGGGTAGAAAAACTAATTAATATGTTTTATACTACATTCACACGTGTTTATGGACTTGACTATGTGCTGGTAACCCATTGTTTTACTACATACAACTGTATACTTTCAATTTTCAATTTGAAACTAAGATTCTGAGCTTTATAATATATTTAAAGAAACAATTACACAGGTTTTTTTTTAAATATAAAAGGTATACATTTTTTGTAGCAATGTTAACATTTAGCATTTTTTTTTTTAATTTTTTGGAGCACTATATTACTTACACTAATATACGTGTTAAATTTTGAATATAGCCCAAGTCAAGACAATGGGTCATTGTTGTATGGCCACAGACTCGACACCAGTATGTCTTGCTACTAGGACGAATCGGAGCAAGAAATAAAGAACTAATTTTTTATACATTGGACGAAATCGCTGCATTAAAAGTTGGTCAAAGTTGAGCTACAAGATTTGCCATAAATCTACGGACGTTGTGTAACTAGGTAAAAGCTTGTAAACAAAAAAATCAACGCAGCTAGAGATGAGTTTATTAATAATAATATTTCTCAAACTATCAAAATATTTTTTTTTTTTAAAGTCTAAATCTAGATGTGAAACAAAGCTTGGACTTTGATTTTCACGTTTTTTCCCTACATAAGAGCTAAACAACAGAAATCTATAAATAGCACACACGCGTGACTTCCCTTTACGGCTGTTACATCACTCGATCTAAACAATCGAATTCTAAATTATTTAATTAATTATATTAATTATTTTATTCAAGAACTTACCAAATCGTTGTGGTTTTATTCAGTTCAGATTGTTCCATGTCCAACATCGACACAATTTGTGTTTCTTATCCTGAGTTCAATGCCGAGATTTCTAAAGACAGAACCAAAATAGGCGGCTGTTGGACGATCGATAAAAACCCGCTTCTGTGAATAGCCAGGATAAACAAACTAATACTCTTGCGTGTATGTGATATTTAACTCTACGCAAAGTGTTCAATAAAATTTATATTAAAGCAATGTAAAATCTTTGACTTCTGCTTGTCGTTTGCCACACAAATGGAAAGGTGACTTGCGCGGCGTTCACAAATATATCAGTAGAGTGCGAGCCGACTGTGGTAACCAGACGCACCTTCTCGCCGCGAAAACACCGTCACACGGGATTCAAGTTCAATGTCAGCGGGACCATAGGCTGAAGCCAGCCGACTACGTCACAGGAGTGGGGAGTTGGTTGGCTGACCGGTGGGTAGTCCGCGGGCTTTATGTAACGGGTACCCGCGGGTTTTATGTAACGGGTACCCGCGGGTTTTATGTAACGGGTACCCGCGGGCTTTATGTAACGGGTACCCGCGGGCTTTATATAACGGGTAACCCCGAAATTGTTTTATTAAGTAGGTACAGGTAAGATGTTACGAGATGTATTTATTTTTGTTAACGTTTTTTTTTATTATTTTTGAAGCCGGAATTTGCCGGCAAAACACGTGAGAGTGGACTTTTTTGCCGGCCGCTGATTAAAACGAAACAGGACGAGAAATCAGATTGAACACGTGATACATCGAAACGTGTAGGGCGGCCAGCGAACGTTCGATTAAGGTGCGTTTCTAATTTTGACATTGAAAATAAAACCTCTGACTCTTTTAATATGTGACTTGGTTTAGTGCGTTTCATCAGGAAGTTTTTGCCGGTTAGATAGGCTCTGATTATGGGTGAGACTAGTAGCTAATAGGATATTAAAGATAAAATTATAGAAAATTGCAAAGCAAGTTAGGGGAAAATTTGTCACACCTGAATTTTGGAGCCGGACATTTGGTTTTATTTTTACGACACCGGCTGTGGGGAGTCTGGTGACGGCCGGTCAGAAAACCGGTTGCCATGTCGGCAGCCGGCAAAGTAACTAGGTAACACAAACACATATACACAAACGTTGCTGATTTTAGTGAGTCTACCATTCGAGCACGCCAAGGCGCCAAGTGTGTTGTGTTGTGTTGTGTATGTATGTGTTGTGCATGTGTGTGGTGCGCGTGTGTGTATGTACGTGTGTGTGTATGTGTATGTATGTATGTGTGTGTGTGTATGTATGTACGTGTGTGTATGTTTGTGTATGTGTGTGTGTGTGTGTAAAAACAAATGGTGCCCGAGGACTTAAAGTTCCTCAACCACAAACAAAAAACCCATACGACCATCGATCCCAGAACAACCACCGCTCCTTTAGTAACTGCTTTATTTTTAACTTTTAATTCTTCCTCCTTCCATCCTTGCATTAAACATTACTATTTTTAACTTTGCTCAGCGCCAGTTCAAAAGATTCCATTTTGTTGAGCAGTTTGTGTGAAAAGGCTTGAGCGATTCATTGTTATCTCTAAAGTTTGTCAAATCATGCATATTTTACACACACACACACACACACACACACACACACACACACACACACACACACACACACACACACACACACACACACACACACACACACACACACACACACACACACACACACACACACACACACACACACACACACACACACACACACATATATATATATTTATATATATAATTGTATATGTATATATAATTGTATATATATATATAGGCCTATATATATATATATATATATATATATATGTGTGTGTGTGTGTATTGATGGATGGATGGATGGATGGATGGATGGATGGATGGATGGATGGATGGATGGATGGATGGATGGATGGATGGATGGATGGATGGATGGATGGATGGATGGATGGATGGATGGATGGATGGATGGATGGATGGATGGATGGGTGGATGTGATGTGGATTTATACACATTTATGTTGTTAAAACGAGTCTAAAACAAAGAAGCTGAAATGGTTTACAAACAAAATATATTTACAGTAATTTCAAAGAAACAACAAACCTATCCCTAATCAGCAGCTTAATAAAATGTGCATGTGTCGTGACCTTGGATTAGCCAGGTAAATATCGTGCATGTGAATCTGTTTATTGCTCTACGTGTAACACTGTTTGGTTATCTTTCTTCTTGAAACACGCTACCTCGCGTACCGATGTCAAATGGAAAACAATAAATTGCCGCTGTCAATAAGATAATAATAACACGCGTTTTCTTTTTTTTATTTAATCAGGTTACATGACGTCATCACCCCCCCTCCCCGTGGCGTTAAATAGGTTAAATTCGCTGCCTTCGCCCCCCCCCCCCCCCCCCCCCCCCCAACGACCGACCGCTTCTTCCAGCAAACACGTGCGTGGAATCTAACCTTGATATTTTAAACTTGGCCGAGTGGAGAGTCCGGGCCTCCAGCACGTGAGGTGGTCGCCACGTTTCTGTCGCCGCGCACGGGTGTCGTCGTCACTTGCCGCGCGCTAGGAAAAATGGACGAGTTTTTGAGAGTAGTTTCCCTTTTAATTCAAGTTTTTTTTTCCTTTATTTTGTTTTTTTGTTGTTGGCGAGTTTTGTAATTCTCTCCCTTTTTTTTCCTGCCACGCAGACGAAGGTATTTTTGGGGTCTTGACGTCACTGGTTTAAAGCATCGTGTTATGCAATATTTTTTAAAGCACTGGATCTATAATGAGAGCAGGAGTACACGGTTTTTTGTTTAATTTTTTTTTTAAATTTGATAAAATGTATATTTGTTTGATTTCATTTCCGTTACAAAATGTTGCGTTTAAATTCACAAAAGAAATGTTTAACGTTAAAAATAGTATTCTTTTTTTTTTACATTGCCTCCATTTTTTTCGGTATAACAATTGGTTACAAAACTAGAAACCCATGAACGCCCCAAAATACAACTAACACTAATTAGTATACTATATTTTTTTTTCAAATTAAGCTTAACAGCTATTTATAGAAGAAAAAAAATATTAATTAACCCAGACTTTAATTCAGGATGGGGAAAAACAAAGCGAATGACATATAAATGGCTGACTCTAAATTTTGTTTTGTTGACGAAACCCTATTTTAAACTCGACTAAAACTATATTTTCTCACAACACAAAAACATTCTCCCTTAATGGCACGTGATATTTTCACACACTTACCTCCTTTAAAGCGCAATAAGCAATCTTGGAATATATCTATTATTAAAATGCACAATTTAAATACGCATTAAACTTGTTAATTAATTTAAAAAAAAAACAACAACTGATTGGCTAGCCTAAGATACGATTTTATTTTGTTGCACTCTCTTATAATACCACTCCATCCCCTTTTCTCTCACCACCACATAAAGCAAGGTTTTATCCAACATTAAGTTTTTAAAAGATAAATAAATCTATAAAACTTAAGTTTTTCTTGCTAAGCTGTTTGTTAAAACAAATACAGGGTCAGGGGCGGAACTACCATACGGGGGTTGGGAGCCCAAAATCCGACCCAAAGATATTTTTTTCTTGCACCTTTGTAGTTGTTTTAAAGTTTTCGCTTTATTCATTGAAATGTGACAACGAAAGTATGCGCTGAATGATAATGCATTATATTGAAGTTGTTTTGCTTGCTGTCGAACGGTAGTGCAAATGGCTGTTAATTGAAAGTCGCGAGTTCACTTCGAGCTCAAAACCGTAAAAATATCACCCGATGCACAAGGTCTTTGTGTGCTCATGTAGCTTCAGGCCAACAGAAGCGGTCGAGTATTTAACATGACGTGGTCGTACAACGAAACGGATGCGGTCGTAGAACGAAACGGATGCGGTCGTAGAACGAAACGGATGCAGTCGTACACAGAAACGGATGCGGTCGTACAACGAGGTCGTACAACGAAACGGATGAGGTCGTACAACGAGGTCGTACAACGAAACGGATGCGGTCGTAGAACGAAACGGATGCAGTCGTACACAGAAACGGATGCGGCTGTACAACCTAACGAATGCGGTCGCACAATGAAAATGATGCCGTCAACAACAAAACTGATGCGGGGAGGGGGGGGGGGGCGCTTTAAAAAAAACACAGGAATACTATTATATAAGATTGTAGGAAAAAAAGTCACAGGAAAAAAAGTAACCAATTTGTATTTGCAAGGAATTTGTTAATAATATGTATTAAATATTCAAGAAGTAATATTTATAAGACATGTAAAAAAATATTTAGTATGAAGTTTGTAGATTTTAATTGCGTTATACATGAAATTTAAATAAAATATAATTTTTTGAATGCTCCAACCTTCTAGGTTTTCACCGTCTCTCTTAAATACTAACTTTAAATTAGAGTGAAATGGCATAAAGACATAGTTCAACCATCTGTGCTGCCCACATTTATCACACTTATTACATAGCAAATTATAGTATCAAAACAGAAAGCCGACACGGTACAAAGGCTGTTATTTGAAGCAAAACGTCAACAACACACTATATGGACCGACAAGTTTGAATGAAGAGAAGCCGACCAACGAAAGGCCTACGGCAAAAAAACATGCTTAAATTTCTTTTATAATTAATTTTTCTACCACAAATTTAATTAAATACCTAACAAAACTTGCAGCTGCTCTGTAAAGTATCTTATAGTATTTTTACTATTTTTTTACACAATTTTACAATTCTCAACAATTAAAATAAATACAAACATTTCTTAACATATTTTTGTGACTATTTTTATTTGGAGAATTTATTTCTGTGATTTTTTTTCCGATTAAATTTTTCCTTTGTGACTTTTTTTCTGTGACTTATTTTTCCTAGCAAAATGACACCCTGACGTAAAATCGTAAAAAAAAAAATCGTAAAATGTTTTATCAAATTAAATTAGCAAAATAGTAGGGGGAAAGGGTAACCCGAAACCAAAAATTCAAAATTAGTGGAGGGGTGGTGGGACGACAGCAAGTGACGCGACTGGGTGCACCTGGGTCATGATCACCATGAATCACCATCGTCTGTGAGGATTTACAAACTAATTAACAGATACAGTATATCTATTCACGTCACACCGGTAACAGGATATTCTGAAAATATTTTAAATGCGAATGTTTGGGCGTGCTGGGCTAATATTTCAAGACACGATAAAAGACGAATTTAAAAAAAAATAGAGATGTTGACGTGGGTGTCCACGTAAAATGTATCAAAGTTTAATGTTTCTTTAATGAAGGACAAGGGGAGAGGAGACATGATCAGAGTTGTCGTCCCTGGGTGATGCTAGCGGTGGGAGGGGAAATAACCGTGTTAAGTACAATTTAAAAAAATAAAAATAAATCAGCTTAGCTCGTAGCAAGAGTTCATTCTTTTATAGGGCAGATGAAGTAGAGTCTGTCTGGTTATATGAAAGTGTGGGTTTGTGGGAGTTGTCATTTTAGCACACTTTTTAAAATCAAGTTTATGATATCTAAAATAAAATACAAAAAATTTAAAAAGACTTATTTTTATGGACCTTGAGCAAGGTTGAATAATCGTGTGTGATTTTTCGATCACGAAAATCATGATTCAAGCTCATGATTTTACTAGCACAATCTTCAGTGTCGCCTCAAAAAAAATCATGTAAGTATTCTTTTAGTAAACTTTTAAATTTTAAATCAAAATAGCACATGGTTAAAATATTGCAAACATTTGAGAAAACAAAAAAAAAAAAAAAAAAAATTCAAAAAATAATTTCTAAGTACTGATAGTTCACCAGAGTAAGCTCCAAAACCACAATTAATTTTTTTAGTGTACTTTAAAACAATTCTGGTCTTTAATGACAATAGGAAAGGTTAACTTGAATATCACTTTTCCACTCAGTAACCTTGTACGGCGGGATATAATATCCAGTCACGCGCAAATTAGTAGACTACTGTGCACTGTACTTTGTAATACAATTTTTAACGATAATCTAATAAAACAAACGCTTACAAAAAATATACTTATCTATGATATATATATATATATATATATATATATATATATATATATATATATATATATATAATTGTGTACATATAGGCCTATATATATATATATATATATATATATATATATAAATAATTGTGTACACACACACATATATATATATATATATATATATATATATATATATATATATATATATATATATATATATATATATATATATATATATACATACAAATTCATATATATACGAATATACATACATACACATACATATATATATATATATATATATATATATACATATATATATATATATATATATATATATATATATATATATATATATATATATATATATATATATGCATATATATATCGGCCCTGTATCAGCAACCCTTCCCGGCGCCCGGGGACAAACCTTCTTTCTATTTTAGCCCCCCCCCCCCCCTCAAACTTTCAATTTGTTTCTCCAACCCATTTTTCTCCACTCCCGCCCCCTCGATACGCCTCTACCCTATATATATATATATATATATATATATATATATATATATATATATATATATATATATATATATATATATATATATATATATATATATATATATATATATATATATATATATATAAATTGCCTATATATATAAATTATAATTTCGATTGATCTAAATTTAGCCTCTCGCCCTCGTGGACTCTCGGCTGTGACAAGTGAACAGTTCACATGGCAGACACAGAAACGTGAGAAGCCGATGGCGCGGCCAAGATGCCAGCCCTGCCGTTCAAAACGCCGACTCGTGACCACTTGGTTGGCCTTACACAAGGGGAGCAGGCGGCCGGTGCCAGAGCTGGTGTTAGTGCCCTTGGTGAATATATTACACGTACTTGACCCTTAATGGTAAGCTTAGCCAGGGGAGGGAGGCGGGGTGATGTTTTATCATTAGCATATTTAGGTTACTGTTGTTTAGCAAAATAGTTGGTTAGAAGAAGCGTAACATTAATATAACATGGCAATGTAATCTATAATTATTAGAGAGTTATATAGAGTCTAATGAGAAATGTGGATGTTGGACTGTAATTAATTATAGTTAATTATAGCAATCAAGATCGATTACTAGTAGCGGGTGGGTAGGGAAGTTTTTATGGTAGGGGTGAAGTTATGTTGGTGGGTAGGGGTACGTGTTGGAGGGTGGGTGGGGGTGAGTACGTGTTGGTGGGTGGGTGGGGGTGAGTACGTGTTGGTGGGTAGGGGTGAGTACGTGTTCGGTGGGTGGGTGGGGTGAGTACATGTTGGTGGGTAGGGGTGAGTACGTGTTGGTGGGTGGGTAGGGGTGAGTACGTGTTGGTGGGTGGGTGGGGTGAGTACGTGTTGGTGGGTGGGGGTGAGTACGTGTTGGTAGGTGGGTGGGGGTGAGTACGTGTTGGTGTGGGGGTGAGTACGTGTTGGTGGGTGGGGGTGAGTACGTGTTTGTGGGTGGGTGGGGGTGAGTACGTGTTTGTGGGTGGGTAGGGGTGAGTACGTGTTTGTGGGTGGGTAGGGGTGAGTACGTGTTGGTAGGTGGGTAGGGGTGAGTACGTGTTGGTGGGTGGGGGTGAGTATGTGTTGGTGGGTGGGTGGGGGTGAGTACGTGTTGGTGGGTGGGGGTGAGTACGTGTTGGTGGGTGGGGGTGAGTACGTGTTTGTGGGTGGGTGGGGGTGAGTACGTGTTTGTGGGTGGGTAGGGGTGAGTACGTGTTGGTAGGTGGGTAGGGGTGAGTACGTGTTGGTGGGTGGGGGTGAGTATGTGTTGGTGGGTGGGTGGGGGTGAGTACGTGTTGGTGGGTGGGGGTGAGTACGTGTTTGTAGGTGGGTGGGGGTGAGTACGTGTTGGTGGGTAGGGGTGAGTACGTGTTGGTGGATGGGTGGGGTGAGTACGTGTTGGTGGGTAGGGGTGAGTACGTGTTGGTGGGTGGGTAGGGATGAGTACATGTTGGTAGGTGGGTGGGGGTGAGTACGTGTTGGTGGGTAGGGGTGAGTACGTGTTGGTGGGTGGGTAGGGGTGAGTACGTGTTGGTGGGTGGGGGTGAGTACGTGTTGGTGGGTGGGTGGGGGGAGTACGTGTTGGTGGGTGGGGGTGAGTACGTGTTGGTGGGTGGGTAGGGGTGAGTACGTGTTGGTGTGTGGGTGGGGGAGAGTACGTGTTGGTGGGTAGGGGTGAGTACGTGTTGGTGGGTGGGTAGGGATGAGTACATGTTGGTAGGTGGGTGGGGGTGAGTACGTGTTGGTGGGTGGGGGTGAGTACGTGTTGGTGGGTGGGTAGGGGTGAGTACGTGTTGGTGGGTGGGTAGGGGTGAGTACGTGTTGGTGGGTGGGTGGGTGTGAGTACGTGTTGGTGGGTGGGTGGGGGTGAGTACGTGTTGGAGGGTGGGGGTGAGTACGTGTTGGTGGGTGGGGGTGAGTACGTGTTGGTGGGTAGGGGTGAGTACGTGTTGGTGGGTAGGGGTGAGTACGTGTTGGTGGGTAGGGGTGAGTACGTGTTGGTGGGTGGGGGTGAGTACGTGTTGGTGGGTGGGGGTGAGTACGTGTTGGTGGGTGGGGGTGAGTACGTGTTGGTGGATAGGGGTGAGTACGTGTTGGTGGGTGGGGGTGAGTACGTGTTGGTGGGTGGGTGGGGGTGAGTACGTGTTGGTGGGTGGGTGGGGGTGAGTACGTGTTGGTGGGTGGGTGGGGGGAGTACATGTTGGTGGGTGGGGGTGAGTACGTGTTGGTGGGTGGGGGTGAGTACGTGTTGGTGGGTGGGGGTGAGTACGTGTTGGTGGGTGGGTGGGGGGAGTACGTGTTGGTGGGTGGGGGTGAGTACGTGTTGGTGGGTGGGTAGGGGTGAGTACGTGTTGGTGTGTGGGTGGGGGAGAGTACGTGTTGGTGGGTAGGGGTGAGTACGTGTTGGTGGGTGGGGGTGAGTACGTGTTGGTGGGTGGGTGGGGGTGAGTACGTGTTGGTGGGTGGGTGGGGGGAGTACGTGTTGGTGGGTGGGGGTGAGTACGTGTTGGTGGGTGGGTAGGGGTGAGTACGTGTTGGTGTGTGGGTGGGGGAGAGTACGTGTTGGTGGGTAGGGGTGAGTACGTGTTGGTGGGTGGGGGTGAGTACGTGATAGTGGGTGGGGGTGAATACTTTGTGGGTGGGTGGGGTGAGTACGTGATGGTGGGTAGGGATGAGTACATGTTGGTGGGTGGGTGGGGTGAAAACGTGTTGGTGGGTAGATGGGGTGTGTACGTGATGGTAGGTAGGGGTGAGTACGTACTGGTGGATGGGTGGGGGTGAGTACGAATTGGTGAGTTATTAGTATGTGTTTTGGGCAGGAGTGTGTGTGTGCTTAAATATTTTACTATCGGGCTAAAAAATATTTACATCCCTATCCTGGATGCATCATGTGGACATTGTAAATATGCTTTGATTTATCCTCTAAGTAAGGTACCGTTAGGTTCATTATCAGCTCGGTTTAACATTCATTTCCTGCATTATCAGCTCGGTTTAACATTCATTTTCTGCATTATCAGCCCGGTTTAACATTCATTTCGTGCAATATCAGCTTGGTTTAACATTCATTTCCTGCAATATCAGTTTGGTTTAACATTCATTTCCTGCAAAATCAGCTTGGTTTAACATTCATTTCCTGCAATATCAGCTTGGTTTAACATTCATTTCCTGCCATATCAGCTTGGTTTAACATGCATTGCCTATATTATCAGCTTGACCAAACCTAACATTTGTAATTTATGCTTCAGAAACACGAAGATCTTAGATTCTTCTTCAACAACAAATCGTCTATGGATAACCAGCTTTAACATACATACACGTTTATATAAGACGATTAAAGCAGTGTAAATTAAAAACATGACGCAAAAGAAGAGGGCAATTTAAAGTTTATGTACAAGTCTTTTTGACAAAATAGTATATAATTTGACCAATAATTCATGTAAATTGATTTATGCTACAACCTATTTTGAATCATGCAACAAACACAACATAATAAAATCATTCGAACAAATAAACAATTTTTAAGCACACCATAAAATAATGTGTTTCTTTTAGTTAAATCCATATACCGCCACACAGAAGTCCCTTATGTTTTACTCGTATTTTACATTGGTATTCCACTTTTACTGTTACGTCTGTACCGATTTGGGCGTCTCCTCGAGGGGGGTTTCCTGGTCCTCAAGCAGCTCAAAAAGATAGTTCGCGATTGCGTGTTTGAACTTCCGGTTGTTTCGCGCGTTCAGCTGTTTAACATTGGGCAGAATCCCTTTAAAAAACAACAAGTCCTCGTCCACATCTGAGGAGATGTACTTGAGAAAAGCGTCCGCCATGGCGTTATTGCTGGGGGGAGCCAGGGGCGCGAGGGTGATTTTCGGCTTCTTCGCCACGGGGTACACGGGGTGGACGGAGAGAAAAGACGAGGAGGTGGCCGAGTCGTTGGTCGAGTCTTCGAGCTCCCTCTCCTCTTCTTTAATGTACATATCTACCATCTCGTCCGGAGACTGACCCATGTCTTCGACCATGAGGTTGTCTGATTGGTCCAAGCTGGGGTCGTACATGGACGAGCAGGTCATGTGATCGCGTAGGAAGTCCATCTGCTCCTTCAGGTACCATGTCGATTTCCCAGACGATCCGTTCATGGATTTGTTGCCGGTGAGGCAGCGGCTGTAGGAGCTCCTGAGATTTTGCCAGGTTTTTTTTGCCACGTTTCCTATGAGCGACAGAACAGAAGTCAAGTGAGAATAAAGATGTTTATAACATTGTTGCTGAAGTGTTGCGAAGTAAAAAAAAACCAAAACAAACCCACTTATATATGGCTCTAATGCTATGGGGTAAATGAAATATCAAGGGAAAACGTGTCCAAACAAAAACGCGAATGTGTAGGTCTTCTAGTTATTTAATACGATAACAAACGATAACAATTGAGTAGTAAACACAGATCTTAGCATTTAATGGTATATTTGAGTTCCGTTATAAGTTATTTAACGTCTAGCCTCCAGGTCCCATCTAGACAGCTAGACTTAGAATCACAGTAGCTGAAACCTAATAGTCTTGACCAAGATGGGGGGGGGGGGGCGGACGACGGACACTCGTAAAAGTATATATTTTCTATATAAATTCTATTACGTTCCGGGCGGGGGCGGTAGACGTTTTTTCCGCTTGGGGGGGGGGGGGGAACCTAAACCTAGACAGACCGAGTCTATAAACCTAGCACTCTGCGTTGTGTGATCACACGCCTCACCACAGCCCCGCAAGTGAAAGGGTATTCGATCGTTTCTATAACTATTTGCTTGACACGGGCAGAATGCACTCACTGTTTAGGGAGATAATTCAAAGGAAAAATATTTTGTTGATATTTCAAAGTGAGACGCCGGACAAGATCTCAATTAAAATTAAAGGATGATGGATCCAATCCTCCTCGTGTATCAAAACGTGTGGGGACAGAGAGAGACTAAAGCAGTGGCGTCACCAGGTCGGGTGTTACACGCTACAGTGGCTGGGGACGTTCCCCCCCTCCCTCGACCAACTGTGAATTTCCGGTTTCTTATTCCCCCCCCCCCCCCATATTTTAACCGAATAACAATCACTCCCCGACCCCTGTCTTGTGACGCTACAGGACCAAAGGCCATTTACAAATCAACTCACTCAACACCTCCAAGATCTGACCGACCCCCCGACCCCCTTCACTACCGCCTTGTGATGCTACAGGACCGAAAACAATTCAAAATTCAACAGCTCACCCGACATCCACAAGATCTGGCCTATGATCTCCCCCCCCCCCCCGTGTAACCAAAGATCATCTACAATTCTACAACACCCCCACCCCCCCCCCGTAATGCTACAAAACCAAAGATCATTTACAATTCAACAACTCACCCGACACCCCCAGGATCTGGCCGATCTCCCCCCCCCACCCCCCGTGATGCCACAAAACCAAAGATCATCTACAATTCAACAACTCACCCAACATCCACAAGATCTGGTCTATGATCTCCCTTCCCCCCCTCCCTCGTGTAACCAAAGATCATCTACAATTCTACAACTCCCCCCCCCCCCCCGTAATGCTACAAAACCAAAGATCATTTACAATTCAACAACTTACCCGACACCCCAAGGAATTGGCCGAACTCTCCCACCCCCTCCCGCGATGCTACAAAACCAAAAAACGAAAGATAATATACAATTCAACATCTCACCCGACATCCACAAGATCTGGTCTATGATCTCTCTTTCCCCCCCCCCCCTCCCCCGTGTAACCAAAGATCATCTACAATTCTACAACCCCCCCCCCCCCCCCGTAATACTACAAAACCAAAGATCATTCACAATTCAACAACTCCCCCCCCCCGTAATGCTACAAAACCAAAGATCATTTACAATTCAACAACTCACCCGACACCCCCAGGATCTGGCCGATCTCCCCCACCCCCCCCCCCCGTGATGCCACAAAACCAAAGATCATTTACAATTCAACAACTCACCCGACACCCCCAGGATCTGGCCGATCTCCCCCCCCCCCCCACCCCCCGTGATGCCACAAAACCAAAGATCATTTACAATTCAACAACTCACCCGACATCCACAAGATCTGGCCGATCTCCCCCCCACCCCCCGTGATGCCACAAAACCAAAGATCATTTACAATTCAACAACTCACCCGACACCCCCAGGATCTGGCCGATCTCCCCCACCCCCCCCCCCGTGATGCCACAAAACCAAAGATCATTTACAATTCAACAACTCACCCGACACCCCCAGGATCTGGCCGGTCTCCCCCCCACCCCCCGTGATGCCACAAAACCAAAGATCATTTACAATTCAACAACTCACCCGACACCCCCAGGATCTGGCCGGTCTCCCCCCCCACCCCCCGTGATGCCACAAAACCAAAGATCATCTTCAATTCAAAAACACCCGACATCCACAAGATCTGGCCTATGATCTCCCCCCACCCCCCCCAGTGTGTAACCAAAGATAATTCACAATTCAAGAACTCACCCGACACCCCCAGGATCTGGCCGATCTCCCCCCACTCAGCGTCCAGCCGCAGCCTGTCCTTGTACTGTGGGTGGCCGGGGTTGTACAAACACTCCCGGGCCTGGACCTCCTGGATCAGCTGACTGTAGAACTCGCGGTTCCCTTTCGGCATCTGTGGAAGGTCACGCAGAGTGTTGAAGGTACTCACGGTGGGGGTCGTCCCACCCCTGACGATGGGGGTCGTCCCATCCCTGACGATGGGGGTCGTTCCACCCCTGACGATGGGGTCGTCCCACCCTGACGATGGGGTCGTCCCACCCCTGACGACGGGGGTCGTCCCACCCCTGACGACGGGGGTCGTCCCCACCCCTGACGATGGGGGTCGTCCCACCCCTGACGATGGGGGTCGTCCCACCCCTGACGATGGGGGTCGTCCCACCCCTGACGATGGGGTCGTCCCACCCCTGACGATGGGGTCGTCCCACCCCTGACGATGGGGTTCGTCCGACCCCTGACGATGGGGAGTGGGGGGTCACACACAGACAGACATTTGCGAAATGAACAGCACACAATGCTTCATCCAGATGGATTGTGGATTTAAAAAAAACAAAACAATAATGCAATTAATAGTTTAGTTGAAAAAGGGGCAAGGCGGTACCCGTTGCAATAACTGAGGGTGTCACCCCCTTCCCCCCCCCCCCCTTACTCCTATTATTTTGCATTTTCGGTTTGGCGTCGTCATCCCTCTCCCTCTAATATTTTCTTATTTTAACTGGATAAACCATTGTTTTGACAGTAAATTTTGTTTTTTCGTCGTAGTGGGCGTCAGCCGGTGCGACCCCCTCCCCCCCCCCCCCCCCCCCACCGGTATTGTGATACCACTGGGCCTACGTTGAGAGAAAATCAAACTATAAAAAAGAAGAAGAGAGCAGCGAATTTTGTGGACCCTATTTGTACATTTTAAAAATTGCAATAACTTGTTTATAACAAATTTAATTCCTTCTCTTAATAAAGGGACAAAACCGAATAAAAAATATAGACCTATAAATAAACAGTGCTAAATTATTTTTTTTCAAATACTGAACATTTTAATGAATACATGTCAACATTAGTAGGATATTATTATTATTTTTAACTTCAATATAGATCTACGCCGAAAGGGATAAAAACGCTAATAATGAAATTCGGTTTTAAAATTATTTTTAATTAGGCCTACGTGTCACACTTTTAACTTCATATTCAAGTTCAACAAGCCCCCCCCCCCCATCCCCATCCCCAACCAGGAGTGTAACGTATTTGTGGACGATTCCCCCCCCCCCCCTAACAAGTGACATGTACACGATTCTTTTTACGTCTTCCTACTTTATTTGGAATAACTCCCAACCCCTTCTCTTTGGACCCGTTAATAATACCACGAGACAAAGGTTACATATTAATTTACATATTAGTAGGAATAAGATTGAGTATAGATAGTGCATTCCTGATTTTAATTTAGTTGGTGAGAAGTGATTGCGGGTTGCAGTGGCGTAGCCAGGATCGTCTCAAGGGGGGGTTCCAATTTTTACCCGGGGACAAACTTTCGATTTGCACCCCCCCCCCCCCTCAAACTTTCGATTTGCACCCCCCTCAAACTTTCGATTTGCACCCCCCCCCCCCTCAAACTTTCGATTTGCACCCCCCTCATACTTTTTATATATACCGAGGGGTCTATGGGGGGGGGGGGTTATGACCCCCCCTAACCCCCCCCCCCCTGCCTACGCCACTGGCGGGTTGTACCTCATACCACTACATTCGTGTTTAAACGGGCTAAAGTTAGCGAGGCCCTCTTTATTTTTTCGCTGAACAGTTGCGTCTGCTAATAATTACACTACACATGGAATCGATATTTACAGCAACGATTTTGTTTAATGTAAATGTATTTCTCGATACCGCGATATTGCTTACTAATTAGATCTGGATACCCTGAATTAATAATATGGTAATTATGCTTACAATGTGTGCACACAGAAATTATTGTATTTTTTAACAGTTTTACTAAATAAACATTCATGCGATACTACAGAATCGATTATTCTTGGTATGTCGATACCATAGCAACAAAGAGAATGAAAGTTATGAGAATAGAGTAAAAACAAGTATGATTGAACGTCGGAAGCATCGAGTCTATTTTGGGATTTTAATTAAAACACTAGGTTAAGCATACGTACCTTTGAAGTTTGAACAATTCAACAAAACAGTACTTTTATTGAAGAAAAACAAACCCTTTCGACTAACTAGGTCAACATCCAACATCATACAACGCATGCTCTATGACTGATACAACATGGCGGATGACAGGCACACAGCGTGTGTTGTGCCGTGTTGGCCTGCAGCTAGCGTTCTATTTCTGTCTGACCCGCTAGACGCGCCGAATGCCTTGCTGCATGACAGATGGTCAGACGCGCCGTTATGGGCATACCATTTTAATAACAATTTTAATCTTCCTCGCTGTCAAGGATGGGCATGTCTGTTATTAAGAGGATATACTCTATCTTTAGATCCTTATGCAGCTATCAAATTCAATATAGACCTAGATCTAGATCTAATTCTAATTACTATTCCAAATAACGCGTTTGACATGTTTCTTTTTAAGAGGTATCAACTAAAATTCCTAGACATATACCAAATATTATTAATATTCATTAGGAAAACAAGCAGGTCTATGGACTATGAAATAATAGTGTAGTTCAATGTTTTTAATCATTTAACTACCCTGCCAGTGTCACGATGTTAGGGCAAAGTTGCAGGCAGCTCTTTTGTTTGGGCAGAGTTTCTTCCAGTCAACTCCCCTCTTCCCCCCCCCCCCCCCCCGAAGAAAGTCTATCGGCCCCTTGAACGAAATTTGTATAGAAAATATATACTTTTAATAGTGTCGTCCCCCCCGAAGAAAGTCTACCCCCCTCCCCCCGAAAATTTCAAGTGTCTCCCCCCCCCCCCCCCGGAGAAAAAAGTCTGGAAGAAACACTGCTTTTGGGGTCGACCCGCTGGCCGCTCCTCCTGTACATTGAATCTTCTTTCAAAATTTCTATTGGAGGTACCAAAAATATTAGGAGTTTGTTGGTAAGGTCAAGATAAAACATAGATCTAGGTCACTAGGTTCATTTAGTATTATTATAACTTCAGTTGCTTTATTTGTAGCTTTGTTAAAAAAAATATATATTTTGATTCGTATAGGTGTCCATTAGACGTTCCCATTTTTTAATTGTTTCAAGAATAATAACTCTAGTCTTAAAAGCTCAAAAAAGGTCAGCTGATTTTGACACAAATATATCCCTTCCTTCATCGAGAAATAATAGACCTCCATTAAATAATTCTTCAACTGTTTAAAAACAATGTAAGTACACTAGGCCTAAATAATTATTTTTAAAAATACGACATAGATTTAAACCTAATACTACTAATTACGAATAGACATAGGCCTATTTAAAATAGAAATAACTTACTTTAAAACTTTTTACGGTAATCTATCGTTTTGGGTACGTAAAATCGCCCGCGGCTATCAATGTACGAAAATGTTACCTCATTGTCAAGGCTGTAATAGAAGTATTTTGTCATATGTTTGTGTCAAATATTATAGATAAATGAATAATAAACCTAAATCAATGGCTAAATATATCAATATAGGCCAGAAATTAACTTTAAACAGCAGTGTCTGCAAGCAAGATTTGCTATATAAACAGCAGCCATTTGTAAAATAGAGTGACTTCCGCCTGAATCTTGCGCTATGGCTATATGTTTATAAAAATAAAACTTTAACAAGATGGCTGCTATAGTAAATGAGCATGGTTGCATCTGTTGGAAACATCGCTGGTGTTCATTTATTCCTGAAAAGTTTTAATTCAATTGTTTAAAAACAGGTACATAAATGAAACAAGGAAACATTTTTGTATTTTTCAAAACATAAATCCTCCTCAAAATGTGAAATAATTATTAAAATGTAAGGAGTCACCTGTTTTTCACATTACTAGTCGCTGGCGATTTTACGTACCTAAAACGATAGATTACCCTTTTTACTTAGTACTAAAAGTACTAACAGAATACACACTGAGTACACTAAGTCTTAGTGTACTCAGTGTATTCATGTTAAGTATTAAGTTATTAACTATTAATAATAATATTATTAATAAGTAAGTAATAGTCTGTTAAGACCACAGTTAAGTGTTAAGTGTTAGATAGATGGGTATTCGATCCAATACAAATTTAGTAATTTACTATTTACTAGTATTTACAAAACCAAGTCATAGCCATAGCACTCGCAGGACATAGCATGAGGGTAAAAGCTGCATGTAGATCACCACTTCATCTATTGAGGTTATAAAACCTGATTACTTATTAGGTTTTAGGGCGACTAAAACCCCTAAGCTACTGGTCTTGTGCTATCTCTCTACCACAGTAAATTAAATTCATCACCTTCTGTTGATTTACTTGATTAGCACATTTGTAAACAAAGGACGAGTCAGCTTTCAACAATGCTTTTAATTGACAAGCCAACTATTTTATATTAGACAGATGGCATATTTTAAATTGATTTACTCAAAATTATTGATTTTAAAAAAAAGCATGTTAAAAAACTATAAATAATCTAAATTAACCGTGTTTATTATATAATATTAGCCTATGAAAATCATTATTGTCATTACCTGGCTTAATTATCTTTCACCTTGATTTTTCTTTTTAAATGTTCAAAGCTCATTGTCTTGTCTAGTTTTATACCCAAAACTGAAAATTGTTCAACATGTTTGATATGTTACAATATTGATTTAAGAACATTTTTTTTGTTCCTTAGCTTTGTCTATCCCAATACACTTGATTCTGTTTTATTGTCACATCTTCTAAAAGTGTTGTCTGACTAATGTTTGACAGGGCTAGGGCTAGCACTGGGCGCAATGACCAACTTGACCATCTTCAGACAGAGGTTAGCGAAGTCACATCCCTACTGAAGGACAATGTGGAGAAAGTCTTACAGAGAGGGGAACGTATTGACACCCTACAAACTAGATCAGGTATGTTTGTGTGTGGGGAATCTATTGATACTCTACAAACTAGATCAGGTATGTTTGTATGTGGAATCTATTGATACTCTGCAAACTAGATCAGGTATGTTTGTATGTGGAATCTATTGATACTCTGCAAACTAGATCAGGTATGTTTGTGTGTGGGGAATCTATTGATACTCTACAAACTAGATCAGGTATGTTTGTATGTGGAATCTATTGATACTCTGCAAACTAGATCAGGTATGTTTGTATGTGGAATCTATTGACACTCTACAAACTAGATCAGGTATGTTTGTATGTGGAATGTATTGACACTCTACAAACTAGATCAGGTATGTTTGTATGTGGAATGTATTGACACTCTACAAACTAGATCAGGTATGTTTGTATGTGGAATGTATTGACACTCTACAAACTAGATCAGGTATGTTTGTATGTGGAATCTATTGACACTCTACAAACTAGATCAGGTATGTTTGTGTGTTGGAAATGTATTGATACTCTACAATTTAGATAGGTATATTTCTTTTTAAATGCAACTATAATCTAGTACATAGAGGTTAAAAAACAATTTTGGTAAACAAAATTAATGCTGATTGTGGTTCACAGGCTCTGATCCAAGCTAGCCTTACTATTGTCTTTATTAGATTATTTATGATTATCTTGTGCATAACTACCAACAACATTGTTTTCAAAGTTTTTAATTAGTAGGCCCTATATTATTTATATTTCCAGAACTTAACATTTTTGCTAATCAAATTAATGGAGAATTGTTTGAGTGATAATCAAGACATAATCATATTCAAATACATTATTGTTTATTAAAAATTATTAAAATCTCCAAAACAAACTCAAGAAATAATTTGGTTTTTTTTTTTTTGTTTTTTTTTAGTGATAAGTATAAATATATTTCTTTAAAAAAATTCACAGCTTACATATTTTCCACACATAAAACAAAGTGATTATTAATAAACTAATTTTTGTATATACTTTAGAGGACCTAGAATGCAATTCTAACAACTTTAAAAGATCAGCTGTACAGATAAGAAAGAAAATGTGGTGGAAAAACTGCAAGATGATGTGCATTTTAGGATCTGTGATTTTTCTAATCATTGCCATCATTATAATAATCATTCTTGGTAAGTGTATCAACATTATAATTAGTTTTGAAATTTTTACTACTGTTTTAGGTTTTTTTCAATAGTAAGATTTCTTCAAATTTTATTACAAGACAATTTTGAGTTCACAGCTGGGCTTTCAAACATGAGTATGAATTCTTACATTCTTTAAAATACATTTACTTTCAAACGTCTGAATGAAGTCTTGAATTTTTTTAAATACATGTACTTTTAAACTACAGAATGAAATCTTACATATTTTAAAATACATGTCCTTTCAAACTACAGGATGAAATCTTACATATTTTAAAATTCATGTACTTTCAAACTACAGGATGAAATCTAGCATATTTTAAAAATACATGTACCTCAAATTTCAGTTGAAACCAAGCCCTGGGAATCATCGTCCGGTCACCACAATGGCTCCAGTATTGCAGGAAAAGGATTGCACTGGACAACTAGCATTAGCCCTGTCAAAACGATTGATTCGTCATAAGAACTAAAAATACAATGTGTAAATACTTCCTTCATGACATTCCCATATTTACTCTGATAGTGTGGTAGCAGTTTAAAACATCTCAGAAGTTCAAAATTTTTGTTTTTTACATTGATAACATATGTTAGATTTACAGAATGTATACAGATATTTATTTTGTTATCGAAATAATTGATAGTGCTAGAACATACCTTTTTTGCATACAGTTTTTACTTATTTAATTTAGTTTATAAAGACGAACAATGCAAATTAATGAAAGTTTAAGCCAAATAATGCAGCTAGTATAGTTAGGAATTTGACACTATGAAAACTGATTTCTGCATCTGGTTCCTAGATGTTGAAGGTAAAGAGCTACCGAACTAATGGGGAAAGAAAAACTGTCATGTCTTATATAAAATGCTGCTAAATGTTTTTATTATGTCTGTGATAAATTATAAGCTTGGTAACTTTTTTTTTTCTTTTTATAAAAAAAGCAATTTATTCAAATCCGACATTATCCCGAATTTTTTCTTGTGTTTAAACTTGTTTTTGTGCAATCTTTATAAGTCACTTTCTATTTTAAATGCAGTATTAGGTCTACATTACTAACAAGTTATCTTAGCCCAGTGTTTCTTCCAGACTTTTTCTCCAGGGGGGAGTGGGGGGGATGATGACACTGTTAAATGTATATATTTTCTATATAAATTCCATTTCATTGGGGGGGGGGGGGGGGGTTAGACTTTTTTTGTGGGGGAGGGGGGGGGGGTGCTCTGCCCCCCGAAGAGATGCCTGGTAGAAACTTTGTCTTAGCCTAGTTCACTTTCATTCAATACATAGCCAGTCACTGGTGTCCTGTATAATCATCACCAAGTTAGACTAGAAAGTTCAAAAAATAACCAGACCATAAGCAAGGGAAACAACTCCCAACAACAGTTCACTTTGTGCAAGAATGTGAGCCACCCTGTTCTAAAGTTCTGTGTTTGTTTTGTTTTCCTTAATGTCTCTTGTGGGTGGTGTTTATATTTCAGCTGAGTGGAGAATATCTCCCATTTTAAATGAACTTAGTACAAACATAAGCTTTAAAACTACAATGTCATTTAAAATTGGAAAGTGACTTCTTTATATTTTTATGTAATTATTAAATTGTTACTTCATCAATGAAGATATAATTTTTCAATGAAGTCTTGTACACACTATTCGAATCATTGTTAATGTTTCTCCCATTATATTTTAATAAGGGTTTATCTGTAAATACTTTAAGAATAAATACTTTGCTAAAGGTATTTATATCCATTATTATTTCGTATATAATTTTTTATTGTTTCTTAAAAAAGCTAGCAAATTGTGAATTTTACTTTATGAACATTAAGCATTTGACCTTTTTAAGGCTTAGATGGCATTTTATTGCAATACTTTGTAAATGCTCCCATTCATATTGTAGTATTTAGGCATCCTTTGCTTCTGTTTAAGCATCATTTAAGGACTTCGTAGCAGTGTTCCCTTGCTCACAATGACATTATAGTACTTTGATCATGCTCACAAAGTAAGTGTAGTACTTGACCTATGTAGTACTTTACTCTTGCTCACATGGCAAGTGAATTAAAGTGATGGGTCAGTTATTCTGACCCATATTGACAGTTATTGTGACCCTATATAAACATTTCAATTAAGTTCAAGTTCAGCCACTCTAAAACACTCAGCTGTTAGTGTTTGTACCGTGACAAAAAACAACAAAGGAAGTAACGAATGCTTTGAGAGTACTATGTTCTAAGTGCCAACACATTTTGTTATAAATGTAATTCACAATGTTTCTACAACAATTTAATCATGTTATAATAATAATCCCAAATAATCTAATTTTTAACTAAATATTTTTATTTCTACTTAAGTTTTTTTTGTTTACATTTGCTTTGTTTTGATGTTTTTTTTTTAAAAAAGTCAATTATCTATACATCATATTGACAGACACAATTTGCAGTAATATTATCTGCGTTTTGTAATGATCAAAAGTTGTGCAACAAATGTTGAATAAAATCTTATAAAAACTTATTATATATTTTAAAATCATCTACTCTGATAAATTTACTTGTCATGTGTGTCCATGCACCAGACGCAGTATTGTTATTTGACCATTATAGTTTTTGTTATTGACCATTCTAGTTATTATATTGAGAAATGACATCTCTAAGCAGCACGCAATGTTTTCTATCCTTGAATAAATTTTTCTACCATCTGTTGCCCGGGCTTGTTTGTTGATAGCCTTCATAACTATTTTCATTGGGTTTAACTTTAAACGCATTTTTAAAAGAAATGTGGAAACTTTTGTTGTAATTTGTGATAAGAATTTAAACTAAATAAAATTTAGATGACGTATAATTGCGCATTTTAATAAATCACTCAGAAGAAGAAAATATAAATTCATTTTCTTTAGTGCATTGATTTAGGTATGAATTAACAATCTTAACACTATACACAGCCATCTGTACAATTTATATTGGTATATATTATCAATTCTTAATACTATGCAGTGGCGTAGCGAGGTCGGGTGTCACCCGGTGCGGCACTTAATGGTGTCACCCCCCAGAGGCGTAGCGACCCTTCCCGGGGAGAAACTTTCAAATTTTCGATTTGCACCCCCCCCCCCTCAAACTTTCGATTTGCACCCTCCACCTCAAGTTTTTCTCTAAACATTTTTCTATTTTTTGCCTTGGTGTCACCCCCCCCCCCCTAAATGGTGTCACCCGGTGCGGTCCGCCCCCCCCCCTCGCTACGCCTCTGATGCTATGCCCAGCCATTAGTAGGCTACAATTTAGGTATAAATTAACAATACTTATGCCCAGCCATTTGTATAATTTATACAGGTATAAATTATCAATTCTCATCTGGCAACTGAGATGAGTGGACAGTCGACAGGCCGTGGCATCACTAGTCATTTTACTCTAGCTATTTTTTTTCTAAACAGCAACATTCTAGCCATACCATAAAAGCTGGAGGTTGTTACCCTGAAATCTAAAAGTTTAATTCAAAACAAACGTGTAGACTTTAAACTTTTTATTTTAACTTTTTTGTTGTTTTCAATTCAGTATATTGGCTCTAAGTAAGTCAAATGTAATTTATTAAGGTAAAAATACCATACATATCTAATCGTTCACATCATTTGAAAAAAAAAACAACGAAAGGAACAACTCTGAAAATCACAATCTATTTTTTTAGCGCAATTTCCATACGGACAATTGCGATTATTAACTCGTCATTTCTGGATGGATGGATGGATGTGTGTCCGCAGCTTTAAGTGGTATCTCCTCCTCAACGAAGCAATATCGAGGACTAGTTCCAAAAGCAAATATGTTAAGCAAGTTCCAAGGATGATTGTGGGCCAAAAAATTCCCGGAATTCCTTCCTGGATTTCCCGGAAAAGCCAAAAAAACCCTCGAAAAAAATGCAGTTTTTTGCCCATATCTCGGCAACCAGACCACTTAGCGACTTGAAACATTTACCAATCGATTCAAAACCTCGAAAAAAATGCAGTTTTTTTGCCCATATCTCGGCAACCAGACCACTTAGCGACTTGAAACATTTACCAATCGATTCCTGCCATAATTTTGAACAATATTGCCAAGAAAGTTTTCAAAAATATACTTTCGTTCGGTCACAAAAAATTAATTAAGAATTTTTAAACTGAGCATCGTGTAGGCCTAGGATGACATTTTTAATTTAAACTGAGCATCGTGTAGGTTTTTAGCGCAAAAAAATATCCTTAGCTTGTTTTACAAAATTTATCTTAGCTTTCAATAAGGTTGTTTGAAATATTAATAATATTGCTATTTCTATTCCATCGCCAACAATTTAGTGAAAAGTTATAACATTCGGAACTTAGTAAAAAAAATAAAAAATAAACAACAACAGTAAAACACGATGTTTTTAATTTTTGTGTTCTCCGCTAGTCACGTCGAACATATTTATTTCAATGTTTTGGCTGATGCTAAAGCAGAGATTAGTTTAAGACGACCAACTTCAGACTTCATTATTTCAGCATAAAAAATTCTAGGAAAATGAGATATTATTGCATTATCATCAGAGATATACTAAAATTCACTGCCAACCTACAAGAATGGAATACAATAAACACTGCTTTTACACTTCCGACATGTATACTTTATACAGTTAAAAAACCTCGCAAAAAGTTAATGTTATATAAAAATATTTTCCCTACGGAACTTGTATACTTATTACTTACTTGTTGCGAGTTTTTTTCTAGTCTCTTCTGGACATGTATAGTATACATGTTGCAAGTGTAAACGCGGTCTGACCCACTTTAATAATAGATAACAGATTGCTATCCTGCAGGTAGCAGTGCCAATAGACTGGAAAAGTGGTTCCAAAAGTGGTTCCACTTTGTGTTGCCAGAAAGCATATTTTTGAACCAAAATTGAATATTTTAAAATATTTGTGAAATAAGTACAAAGTCACTTCCGGTTTTACTAAAGCTAAAAATATTTAAACACAAAATTACTAATAATATAATAGTAATTTACAAAACATTTTAATTTGGATTAGTATAGTCAGGGTGTTGTGGTGAAAGGGGATGTTATATTATTTAATATAAATAAACTACTAGGTTATATTCGATTGTAATAATAAGTAAAGCGTAATTAATATCAACAGTTTAATATAGGCCTAATCAATCTAGATCGACCTCTGACTATGGGGTCATCTATTAACGATGCCAGACACCCCCCTTCCCCAAAAAAGTAAACCTAAGCCCCCCCCCCCCCCCCTATTGCAGCGATTTTCATAAAATATTTAGACCTATGGGCTTTTCCAACATTCAATGTAGGCCTATTGATTAATTATTTTATAACAATTTATAAAACAACTTTTAATAATGCAAGTAAAGGCTTAGATTCAGTTTCTTAACATGAGCGTTTGTTGAACATTGAAAAGTGTCATCTTACTTTCTGAACCCCCTCCCGCCCTTGACACAAAGGTCCAAATCTCCCCCACCACCTCAAAGTCTGATGGACGACCACTACAGCATTTTGCTATTATTTATAGGATATTCATTAATTAGTCATACAAACCCAATTACATTTGTTGCTGTGATGGTATCTCTGTCATTACAATTATTAAATAGTTTATCTTAAATAAAAAATAAAATGTATCAAGTGGTAAGGAAGGGATTAAATATGGAATAGAAAATGAATCATAATCGTCTTGAAAGAGTTCATCTATCTTAAATGAGTAGACGTGTGTACACCGTGCTAACAAAGGCGTCCAACTAACTAAACAGCCGAACTTTGGACATAAATAAATACAGGAAAACAAATGTAGTGTTAAAAATTTATTTAATACAAAACCTAACCCCTAATTATAGCAATGTTAAACACAAAATAGGGTCTACCTCTAGTCGTCCGCGTTAAATATAATGAACATGATCCTCTATTCTGGTTATACATTTTAAATTATTTTTTTTCAAAGTGTAAAAACGAACCGGAGTGGACCCCCCCCCCCCCAAGTCAAACTTGACTTTAAACGACCCATGTACAAGCGATTGAAGGGAAACGAAAAGTCACAGGAAAAAGTCACGAGAAAAAAAAAACTAAAAAAAAACACAGGAAAAAAAACCACAGAAAAAAATACAGGAAAAAAAACAGAGGTAAAAAAAAAACACAAGAAAAAAAAAATCACAAGAAAAAAAAAATCACAAGAAAAAAAAATACAGAAAAAAAAAACACAGGAAAAAAAACCACAGAAAAAAAAATACAGGAAAAAAAACAGGGAAAAAAACAGGAAAAAAAAAACGCAGGGAAAAAAAACAGAAAAAAGTCACACATTTTTATTTGCATGGAATTTGTTAATACTCGTAAGTCTTCAGAAAGAGCTAATCAACATACGATTATTTAAATGTAACGTAAACATTATTGATATATGTTCTTATGTTGTATTAGTATGGTAACACACGTAAAAAATATCAAGTCTGTAGTATTCTGGTTTCAATTCCGTTTTAGAATAGAATTAAGTAGAATGTTCCAACCTCAGATTTCATCAAGTTTTGAAAATACAATCTTTGAAATCAGCGTGAAATGGGAAAAAGGCATAGTTAATATGATTAGTTGTCCTGAACTCGTCACAACAATATTCCAGCCACCGTTACTGCCCACATTTATCACGCTCATTACATCGCAAAGTAATGGATCCAAACAAAAAGCCGACAGGTTACAAAGGATGTCGTTGAAAGCAAGAATACACAATGCCGAAAGACGAGAGCCCTACGACGAAAACAAGCCACAAAACACGACGTTTCTTTTCTAACTAGTTTTTCTACCAGGTAATCAAATCAATATGTTTCACGATTGGAGGCTGATGTGGAAATTGTCTTTTGTACTCTCGGTTATTGTGAAGATCAAAGTCGGATTATTATGAAAAGCAATAATGCTTTTACAGATTTTAAATAATTTACTATAAACACCACCCAAAATATCTACAGTTGTTAACGAATAAATCAAAATATTTCTTAATACACATTTTAGACTTTTTTTCTGTGACTTTATTTCTATGACTTTTTGTCCTATGTGATTTTTTGTTGTTATTTTTTTCCTGTGAGTTTTTTTCCGTTCACCGTAGAAGCGGAACACAACACGAATTGCAACATTGGTGGTCTAAACTTAATCTAAAGAGTCGACTACACATACTTGCTACAGATAGTACATTAGAAACACATACTACAGAGTCGACTAGACACACTTGCTACTGCGAGTCGACTAGACACACTTGCTACAGAGAGTCGACTAGACACACTTGCTACAGAGAGTCGACTAGACACACAAGCTACAGAGAGTCGACTAGATACACAAGCTACAGAGAATTAATTAGAAACACATACTACAGAGTCGACTGGACACACTTTCTACTGAGAGTCGACTACACACACTTGCTACAGAGAGTCGACTAGATACACAAGCTACAGAGAATTAATTAGAAACAAATACTACAGAGTCGACTAGACACACTAGATACAGAGAGTAGACTAGACACACTAGCAACAGAGAGTTAATTAGAAACACATACTACAGAGTCGACTAGACACACTTGCTACAGAGAGTCGACTAGACACACTAGCTACAGAGAGTCGACTAGACACACTAGCTACAGAGAGTCGACTTAATAAACTTGTTACAAAGAGTAGACTAGACACACTTGCTACAGAGAGTCGACTAGACACACTTGCTACAGAGAGTCGACTAGACACACTAGCTACAGAGAGTCGACTAGACACACTAGCTACAGAGAGTCGACTTAATAAACTTGTTACAGAGAGTCGACTCGACACACTTGCTACAGAGAGTCGACTAAACACACTAGCAACAAAGAGTTAATTAGAAACACATACTACAGAGTCGACTAGACACACTTGCTACAGAGAGTCGACTAGACACACTTGCTAAAGAGAGTAGACTAGACACACTAGCAACAGAGAGTTAATTAGAAACACATACTACAGAGTCGACTAGACACACTTGCTACACAGAGTCGACTAGACACACTTGCTACAGAGAGTTAATTAGAAACACATACTACAGAGTCGACTAGAGACACTTGCTACAGAGAGTCGACTGGACACACTTGCTACAGAGAGTCGACTGGACATACTTGCTACAGAGAGTCGACTAGACACACTTGCTACAGAGAGTCGACTAGACACACTTGCTACAGAGAGTCGACTAGACACACTTGCTACAGAGAGTAGACTAGACACACTAGCAACAGAGAGTTAATTAGAAACACATACTACAGAGTCGACTAGACACACTTGCTACAGAGAGTCGACTAGACACACTAGCAACAGAGAGTTAATTAGAAACACTTGCTACAGAGAGTCGACTAAACATACTAGCCACAGAGGGTTAACTAGAAACACTTGCAATAGAGAGTTTACTAGACACACTTGCTACAGAGAGTTAACTAGAAACACATACTACACTTGCTATAGAGAGTTGAAAAGAAACACTTCCTATAGAGAGTCGACTAGACACACTTGCTACAGAGAGTCGACTAGACACACTTGCTACAGAGAGTCCACTAGACACACTTGCTACAGAGAGTATACTAGACGCACTTGCTACAGAGAGTCGACCAGACATACTAGCTACTGAGAGTTAACTAGAAACATTTGCAACAGAGAGTCGACTAGACACACTTGCTACAGAGAGTTAATTAGAAACACAAACTACAGAGTCGACTAGTCACACTTGCTACAGAGAGTTAATTAGAAACACAAACTACAGAGTCGACTAGACACACTTGCTACAGAGAGTCGAACAGACACACTTGCTACAGACAGTCGACTAGACACACTTACTACAGAGAGTCGACTAGACACACTTGCTACAGACAGTCGACTAGACACACTTGCTACAGAGAGTCGACTAGACACACTTACTACAGAGAGTCGACTGGACACACTTGCTACAGACAGTCGACTAGACACACTTGCTACAGAGAGTCGACTGGACACACTTGCTACAAAGAGTCGACTGGACACACTTGCTACAGAGAGTCGACTAGACACACTTGCTACAGAGAGTCGACTAGACACACTTGCTACAGAGTGTCGACTAGACCCACTTGCTACAGAGAGTCGACTGGACACACTTGCTACAGAGAGTCGACTAGACACACTTGCTACAGAGAGTTAATTAGAAACACATACTACAGAGTCGACTAGAGACACTTGCTACAGAGAGTCCACTAGACACACTTGCTACAGAGAGTTAATTAGAAACACATACTACAGAGTCGACTAGAGACACTTGCTACAGAGAGTAGACTAGACACACTTGCTACAGAGAGTTAATTAGAAACACATTCTACAGAGTCGACTAGAGACACTTGCTACAGAGAGTTGACTAGACACACTTGCTACAGACAGTCGACTAGACACACTTGCTACAGAGAGTCGACTAGACACACTTGCTACAGAGAGTCGACTGGACACACTTGCTACAGAGAGTCGACTAGACACACTTGCTACAGAGAGTCGACTAGACACACTTGCTACAGAGAGTCGACTAGACACACTTGCTACAGAGAGTCGACTGGACACACTTGCTACAGAGAGTCGACTAGACCCACTTGCTACAGAGAGTCGACTAACATCCATAAACACAAGAACCAAAGTGAAAGGCCCCGCCGAGCCGTACCGCTGTCAGTTTTTGGAATCTCTACGTCTGGTGCGACACACACATCTACCATTCGGTTATTGTCATCTAAGTTTAACTCGTCATAATCTGCCGTCTGCCATGGAAGGTCAAACTCCTCCTCAGCTTCAACCTCTTCTTCATTGGGAGGACATTCCTCAACTTGGGGATTATGAGCTAGGTGTGAAAAAAATAAGTTAAGTGAAAATTCAGGACATTTATTATTTGTTTTGTTTAATTTTCTAGCTAAACGGTAAATAATAAATCTGAGCGAGTGTGTGAAAAATCTAAATACATTTCTTAGATATTCACATTGAATATTGTTATTTTTAATGATAGCGCAAAATAATTTTTGTCAATTTTTCTCTTAATCGGCTAGTCATCATATGTTGAAAGCATGCTCGCATCATTTAACATCAGATTAGCATAATTTTTTAACCACCATTTCACATTGCTTGATACGACATTTCAAAGAAACCCCGCCCGCCCCATCCCAAAAAGTTTTTTTAAAAAGTAACTGATAGTAATCGTCTAATTTTAAAATAACTTTAGAATAATTAAAGAGATGAAAAGACTTAAAATTGTGTTAAATATAAGTTATTTAATTCGAGAAAATAATTTCTAGAAAGCTGAAATAAAGAGGATAAAAAAGTTATGTTACCAGAGAAACGATCTTTCCCAGAAAAAAAAAGTTATGTTACCAGAGAAACGATCTTTCCCAGAAAAAAAAAGTTATGTTACCAGAGAAACGATCTTTCCCAGAAAAAAAAGTTATGTTACCAGAGAAACGATCTTTCCCAGAAAAAAAAGTTATGTTACCAGAGAAACGATCTTTCCCAGAAAAAAAAAGTTATCTTACCAGAGAAACGATCTTTCCCAGAAAAAAAAAAGTTATGTTACCAGAGAAACGATCTTTCCCAGAAAAAAAAAGTTATCTTACCAGAGAAACGATCTTTCCCAGAAAAAAAAAGTTATGTTACCAGAGAAACGATCTTTCCCAGCTAGAAACCAGCTGATCCCACATAGTTTAAATTCAGACGGCAACAGAGACAAGTCCCACTCGTCACACTTCTCTTTGCTGACGTACAGGAGGAAAAAGACTAATTAGTTTACTAAATGAAATATCCAAATATAAGAGTAAATAGATAAAATTTCACAGGCATTACTTATCTTGCGATTTTTTTTATTAAGCGCACTATGCTGTAGGGCAGGGGTCTCCAAACTTTTCAGCCCGAGGGCCGCATTAACTATCAAATATCAGTTCAGGGGCCAGTTTCTCAGCCATCTATTTGGGGTGGTGGCCCCGAAAAACGTCTACTACTCCCCCACCCCAACGAAATATAATTTATATAGAAATATATACAAATTTCAACACAATCGAGGTCCATGTTTGCTCTCAAATTACTCTTCACGTATTTCATTTTAGAAAAATGTTTGTTCATACAAGTATGTTGTTCCAAAATGTGAAAGGTACTTCGATGCAAAATTTTAATATTAGGAAAGTCTTCCATGGGCAAAACTGTAATTCAATGACCCCTAGCTGCAGTTCATTTGGGCAACTGGCCACATTTGCTTCAAATGAGTTTTGAAACTGTCTCACTTCTTCTGCCTTTAAATCCAAGTCAGAAAACCGCTACTGCAGCTGGAGGTCTTTGATGATCTCGCATGCAAATGACGTGGGGAACTCAGTGGTTGCTTCAGCCGTAAAGACCTTGCAATGCTGAAAGTGTGTCAAGTTGTTAGCCTGTACTTGTTCCAAAAACATGACAAGTTTGGATCTAAAGGTCTTAAGGTGGGTGTATAGATCAGAAACTAGATCTCTCTTGGAGTTTTAGGTTCAGAAAAATAAAAATGTCTAGTTGTGTCTGCATTAGAGGCCAATTTCTATACCCACTCTTCATCAGACCTTAATGGCTGTGGCTTGCCTTTACTCTCCATGAAGTAACCTATTTCCTTTCTTAACTTAAATACTCTACTTAGAGCTTTCTCACAAATTGACCATCTTAATGCTGTGTAATATGGTTAATCTTGCGATTCCATGTTTTTTTTTTTTTGACATGTCTCTGAACTTTCTGTGACGGTATGAAATTAACTATCTTCACCACAGGATTCAGTACACTGTTAATGTCCAAAGCTTGCTGGTGAATAATTCAGTGCAGGAACATTGGTTGTAGAATGTTTTTCTCATTCGCTTGTCCAACCAAACCTTTCTTTGTTCCACTCTTGTACTTTCCTCCATCAATTGTCAGGCAACTGAGGTTAGTCCAGTCCAAGTTACAATCAGCAAATATTTTTTAGCTCATGGAATTTATCCTCACCGGTAACAGTGCCATACATGTTGTGTAGGGAAGCCAGCTCTTGTGTTCATGTCTATATTCACACCTCTAATGAACACAAGTAGTTAAAAGGTAGAAGAGCTGTCCAGCGACTCATCCATTTGAAATTGAAAAATGGCGAAACTTGATGCATTTTTCGCGATTTGAGCCATGATGTTTTCACCAATGTCTGCGACACGGCGGTCAATTGTATTTGAACCCAAAGCCATATTTTCAAATTGATTTCAATTTTCTGGGCAAAGTTCCTCTGCAATCTCCAACAAACATTTTTTTTCTGTGGACAAAAAGAGCTCAGCGGGCCGGATGAGAGGACGTCGCGGGCCGCATTCGGCCCGCGGGCCGTAGTTTTGAGACCCCTGCTGTAGGGTGTCATTTTAGTAAGTTTTAATTTTATTCAGGGAATGACATTGACAAAAATGTTTTTGTCCTTGTCAACAATAATAAAATTATCTCATTGAGCAGGGGAGACTGGGTCGCCTGGACAGCGGAAAAATTCCGATAGGTCGCAAGGAAAAAGTTCCGGTAGTCAGTAGGATCAATGTTTTAAAAGGTATGTTAATGCTTTGATTTTTAAAAAAATTCTATACTTAACTAAGCTTTTCAATGTGTCGTTTTCTTATTATTGTATATTGCAATTTGTAAAGTAACCGGATTCTTCATGGCTATCTTTCCCTGGGTACGGTTTGAAAAAATTTAAGTGCGGCAAGGGCCGATTTTAATAATTTTCCGGGCCGCTTGGATACAACCAGTCCACACCTACTCAGAGTTTACTTATGTAATATCGTTAATATTAATTTACTACTGCATGAAATCACACTTGTTCTACTTTTAATTTTGCTCTCTACATCTTTGCCCCCAGTATGCTTATTCTTTAAAATAAAATTCGTATACTATACAAAAACAGGATTTTGCAGAAAGAAAACCGAAACAAACCATCCTTTAGCGAAGGGGTTTTCTGCCAAAAAATATCTGTGAGTAAACAGCAGGATGTAGTAATGAACAGGGGTTTCACCAAGCTGCTGAATGTCGCTGTAATCCTTGAAGATTGTATACTCTTCCGGATTTTCTAACATACGAAACAGAAAAGAAAACAATGCATTTCAACGTTGAGGAATAACAGGAAAATGTGAAAAAATAAACCAATGCTTCAACACTACGCTATTTCGTTTTGAGTTTCTGCTTCGCCCTATCTAGATCTAAGGTAACAGTCTTAAAATAAAATTTACAGAATCTTTAGTCATGTACGCATTAGATCTGGGTGGAGAGACATTATAGAATATACTGATATTAAAGATAATGTAGTCAGCACTCTTCCCAGCCGCCTTAGATTCCCTAAATTAAGCCAGGTACTCATTAGAGCTGGGTGGCCTCAGAGACATTATAGAATATTCTGATATTAAAGATAATGTGGTCAGCACTTTTCCCAGCCGCCTTAGCTTTCCTAACTTTAGTCAGGTACGCATTAGAGCTGGATGGACTCAGATACATTAAAGAGTATATTGATAACAAAATCAACATCCGAAAATGGCTGTGCTTTTTTTAAAAAATCCTGGCTAACGTTTCTTTGTACGAACTCTTCGTCTATTTGAGTAAACATGTACTCACGTGGCGCCCTTATGTTGGCATAAAACATGTGCCCTGCTGGGTGCACGTGGGGACCCTCGGTCACGTGCCCATCAGGGGACACCACCAGGACAGAGTAGTACCTGGCCAGTACTGGGGAAAGTTTGAATGTTAGGCTTGGTCAATAAACCACACCAGGCTGTTAGGAGGATTTCTACCCCCCCCCCAACCTAATTGCCACACGTCGTTACACCAACAGCCAAAATCTCTGTGAAGAGACATTTCGGAGATCCGCCATACCCGGATAAATTAATAAAATAAAAAAATAATGCTGAAGCACTATGTTATTTTTTTTCTTGAAAAAGATATGCATTCTACGACACATTTGTCAGAAGTAGCCCCCCTCCCCCTCCCCACCTTTCCGCTCTAGTCACAAAAGATTGGCCCCACCCCTATTCCTAAAAATGTTTTTTTTCCAGTCATTTTCTCCCCGAAGGCAGTCTTTCTTTCGGAATTTTTTTCTCGGGAAGGGGGCACCTTAAACTTTCTCAAAGGGCGAGGGGAGGGGGGGAGAGGGGGAGGACACTGATAGAAGTATATATTTTCTATATAAAATATATACTTTTTCTACCTAGTCCCCCTCCCCACCCCCTTTCCCCAAAGACATACCCGAGGGGCATTTGAAACTTCCAGGTAAGGGAGGGGGGATGGGATTGGTGGGATTGGGGCGGTGGATGGGCTCCGATTGCCCGAAAGAAACCCTATAGGCAACTGACGTGTTATTTGTGGGGCTAGTTTTTTTTTGTTGAAGTAATGTAGTTTTGTATAAATGTTAACCAAATTAAAAAAACAATCGAATGAAGTCTTTCTAAAGTATTATATTTAGAATTAGGGATATTATAGGGCTACAGATAAATTATAGGAACAGTATCAGGAGACCAACGAAAATGTATTTAATTACAATAATTTTTTTTGTAGTTGTCATTAAATATTATCTATGGACGGCATTTCAGAAAAATAAATGCGATTTTTATTTTTGCTATTTAGTTACCAAAAAAGAAAAAAAAAAGAATACGTTCATCTATGATACAGTTAAATAATAAATGATAAAAATGAATACCTCCATAATAATAGTGAGTGACAGCTATTTCGATATTTAGTCTCCAGTAATGCAACTTGTATATGTCCGATATCTTCATGTTACTGTCGACTTGATAGTTGTCTCCCGGTCGAGGGCGGAACTCAAATGCCCTGATGATCACATACACATAGAAAACAGAAGAAAAACTTAGACACACACACACACATATATATATATATATATATATATATATATATATATATATATATATATATATATATATATATATATATATATATATATATATATATATATATATACATATACATATATATATATACATATATATATATATATATATATATATATATATATATATATATATATATATATATATATATATATATACATATATATATATATATATATATATATATATATATATATATATATATATATATATATATATATATATATATATATACTTATGTCCCTGGGCGCCGACCTTAAGGGGTGCCAAAATGGGTTGGAAAAACAGTTTGAAGGGGAGGAAGGGGGGGGGGGGGGGTTTGCAAATCGAAAGTCTGCTCCGGGCGCCGGGAAGGGTCGCTACGCCTCTGACTAGCACTAATAGAGTCAGCTGGCTAGTTTTTATAACCCTGGGTCATTCAGTCGGTGAACCTGGGTCATTCAGTCCTACTAACCCTGGGTCATTCAGTCCTACTAACCCTGGGTCATTCAGTCCTACTAACCCTGGGTCATTCAGTCCTACTAACCCTGGGTCATTCAGTCCTACTAACCCTGGGTCATTCAGTCCTACTAACCCTGGGTCATTCAGTCCTACTAACCCTGGGTCATTCAGTCCTACTAACCCTGGGTCATTCAGTCCTACTGACCCTGGGCCATTCAGTCCTACTAACCCTGGGTCATTCAGTACTACTAACCCTGGGTCATTCAGTCCTACTAACCCTGGGTCATTCAGTCGGTGAACCTGGGTCATTCAGTCCTACTAACCCTGTGTCATTCAGTCCTACTAACCCTGGGTCATTCAGTCCTACTAACCCTGGGTCATTCAGTCCTACTAACCCTGGGTCATTCAGTCCTACTGACCCTGGGTCATTCAGTCGGTGAACCTGGGTCATTCAGTCCGACTAACCCTGGGCCATTCAGTACTACTAACCCTGGGTCATTAGTCCTACTAACCCTGGGTCATTCAGTCCTACTAACCTGGGTCATTCAGTCCTACTAACCCTGGGTCATTCAGTCCTACTAACCCTGGGTCATTCAGTCCTACTAACCCTGGGTCATTCAGTCCTACTAACCCTGGGTCATTCAGTCGGTGAACCTGGGTCATTCAGTCCTACTAACCCTGGGTCATTCAGTACTACTAACCCTGGGTCATTCAGTCCTACTAACCCTGGGTCATTCAGTCTTACTAACCCTGTGTCATTCAGTCCTACTAACCTGGGTCATTCAGTCCTACTAACCCTGGGTCATTCAGTCCTACTAACCCTGGGTCATTCAGTCCTACTAACCCTGGGTCATTCAGTTCTACTAACCCTGGGTCATTCAGTCCTACTAACCCTGGGTCATTCAGTCATACTAACCCTGGGTCATTCAGTCCTACTAACCCTGGGTCATTCAGTCCTACTAACCCTGGGTCATTCAGTCGGTGAACCTGGGTCATTCAGTCCTACTAACCCTGGGTCATTCAGTCCTACTAACCCTGGGTCATTTAGTCCTACTAACCCTGGATCATTTAGTCCTACTAACCCTGGGTCATTTAGTCCTACTAACCCTGGGTCATTCAGTCCTACTAACTAACCCTGGGTCATTCAGTACTACTAACCCTGGGTCATTCAGTCGGTGAACCTGGGTCATTCAGTCCTACTAACCCTGGGTCATTCAGTACTACTAACCCTGGGTCATTCAGTCGGTGAACCTGGCTCATTCAGTCCTACTAACCCTGGGTCATTCAGTCCTACTAACCCTGGGTCATTCAGTCCTACTAACCCTGGGTCATTCAGTCCTACTAACCCTGGGTCATTCAGTCCTACTAACCCTGGGTCATTCCGCCCTATTCAACTTACCTGGCAACCACTCGAGACTCGCATGCCGAGGTTCTATACGGTACAGTCCTGGTGAAAAGCGCGAAGAAGAACAAGTTCACGTATGTGTTTATATCTTCCGGGTTAAAGTTCAAGAATGTTATCTGAGGTTTAATCTCTGCTGCGTCTGTATTTTGATTTTCATAAAACACAAAAACAATTAGAATTTTTTATTTTAAAAAATCGAATCGAGTGCTTATTACTTTTAAGAAAACTATGTAATCTTTATCAAATTAAAAATCTGAACACAAAATTCAATAAAATATTTGTTTTCCTATTATTACGGAGTTCAAGTTAAATTTAGACGACGCAGATTTGTATAGCTTCAACTCCTGTCGACACATTAGTAAAGTAAGGTTGAAATGTAAAGCATCGACGAGGCGTTAAGTAATAACCTACAGAAAATGTATGCTGCCGTTTACAAAGAGTGTATACTGCCGTTCAAAGAAAATGTATACTGCCGTTTACAAAAAGTTTATAGTGCCGTTAACAGAAAATTTATACTGCCGTTCAAAGAAAATGTATACTGCCGTTTACAAAAAGTTTATACTGCCGTTAATAGAAAATTTATACTGCCGTTAATAGAAAATTTATACTGCCGTTAATAGAAAATTTATACTGAAGTTAATAGAAAATTTATACTGCCGTTAATAGAAAATTTATACTGCCGTTAATAGAAAATTTATACTGCCGTTAATAGAAAATTTATACTGCCGTTAATAGAAAATTTATACTGAAGTTAATAGAAAATGTATACTGCCGTTAATAGAAAATTTATACTGCCGTTAATAGAAAATTTATACTGCCGTTAATAGAAAATTTATACTACCGTTAATAGAAAATTTATACTGCCGTTAATAGAAAATTGATACTGAAGTTAATAGAAAATTCATACTGCCGTTTATAATAATTTACACTGCCGTTAAAAAAATGTATGCCGTAAACAGAAAATGTATACTGCAGTAAACAGAAAATGTATACTGCAGTAAACAGAAAATGTATACTGCAGTAAACAGAAAATGTATACTGCCGATTACAGAAAATGTATACTGCCGATTACAGAAAATGTATACTGCAGTAAACAGAAAATGTATACTGCAGTAAACAGAAAATATATACTGCAGTAAACAAAAAATGTATACTGCAGTAAACAGAAAATGTATACTGCAGTAAACAGAAAATGTATACTGCCGTAAACAAAAAATGTATACTGCCGATTACAGAAAATGTATACTGCAGTAAACAGATGTATACTGCCGTAAACAAAAAATGTATACTGACGATTACAGAAAATGTATACTGCAGTAAACAGAAAATGTAGACTGCAGTAAACAGAAAATGTATACTGAAGTTAACAGAAATAGTATACTGCCGTAAACAGAAAATGTATACTGCAGTAAACAGAAAATGTATTCTGCCGTAAACAAAAAATGTATACTGCCGATTACAGAAAATGTATACTGCAGTAAACAGAAAATGTATACTGCCGTAAACAAAAATTGTATACTGCCGATTACAGAAAATGTATACTGCAGTAAACAGAAAATGTATACTGCCGTAAACAGAAAATGTATACTGCAGTAAACAAAAAATGTATACTGCAGTAAACAGAAAATGTATACTGCAGTAAACAGAAAATGTATACTGCAGTAAACAGAAAATGTATACTGCAGTAAACAGAAAATGTATACTGAAGTTAACAGAAAATGTACACTGCAGTAAACAGAAAATGTATACTGCCGTAAAAAGAAAATGTATACTGCAGTAAACAGAAAATGTATACTGCAGTAAATAGAAAATGTATACTGCAGTAAACAGAAAATGTATACTGCAGTAAACAGAAAATGTATACTGCAGTAAACAGAAAATGTATACTGCAGTAAACAGAAAATGTATACTGCAGTAAACAGAAAATGTATACTGCAGTAAACAGAAAATGTATACTGCAGTAAACAGAAAATATATACTGCCGATTACAGAAAATGTATACTGCAGTAAACAGAAAATGTATACTGCCGATTACAGAAAATGTATACTGCAGTAAACAGAAAATGTATACTGCAGTAAACAGAAAATGTATACTGCAGTAAACAGAAAATGTATACTGCAGTAAACAGAAAATGTATACTGCAGTAAACAGAAAATGTATACTGCCGATTACAGAAAATGTATACTGCAGTAAACAGAAAATGTATACTACCGTAAACAAAAAATGTATACTGCAGTAAACAGAAAATGTATACTGAAGTTAACAGAAAATGTATACTGCAGTAAACAGAAAATGTATACTGCAGTAAACAAAAAATGTATACTGCAGTAAACAGAAAATGTATACTGCCGCTTACAGAAAATGTATACTGCCGTAAACAAAAAATGTATACTGCCGATTACAGAAAATGTATACTGCAGTAAACAGAAAATGTATACTGCCGTAAACAAAAAATGTATACTGCCGATTACAGAAAATGTATACTGCAGTAAACAGAAAATGTATACTGCCGTAAACAAAAAATGTATACTGCAGTAAACAGAAAATGTATACTGAAGTTAACAGAAAATGTATACTGCAGTAAACAGAAAATGTATACTGCAGTAAACAAAAAATGTATACTGCAGTAAACAGAAAATGTATACTGCCGCTTACAGAAAATGTATACTGCCGTAAACAAAAAATGTATACTGCCGATTACAGAAAATGTATACTGCAGTAAACAGAAAATGTATACTGCCGTAAACAAAAAATGTATACTGCAGTAAACAGAAAATGTATACTGAAGTTAACAGAAAATGTATACTGCAGTAAACAGAAAATGTATACTGCAGTAAACAGAAAATGTATACTGCAGTAAACAGAAAATGTATACTGCAGTAAACAGAAAATGTATACTGCAGTAAACAGAAAATGTATACTGCCGATTACAGAAAATGTATACTGCAGTAAACAGAAAATGTATACTGCAGTAAACAGAAAATGTATACTGCAGTAAACAGAAAATGTATACTGCAGTAAACAGAAAATGTATACTGCAGTAAACAGAAAATGTATACTGCAGTAAACAGAAAATGTATACTGCAGTAAACAGAAAATGTATACTGCCGATTACAGAAAATGTATACTGCAGTAAACAGAAAATGTATACTACCGTAAACAAAAAATGTATACTGCAGTAAACAGAAAATGTATACTGAAGTTAACAGAAAATGTATACTGCAGTAAACAGAAAATGTATACTGCCGTAAACAGAAAATGTATACTGCAGTAAACAGAAAATGTATACTGCAGTAAACAGAAAATGTATACTGCAGTAAACAGAAAATGTATACTGCAGTAAACAGAAAATGTATACTGCAGTAAACAGAAAATGTATACTGCAGTAAACAAAAAATGTATACTGCAGTAAACAGAAAATGTATACTGCAGTAAACAGAAAATGTATACTGCCGATTACAGAAAACTTACACTGTCGGTACCTGGCAACACATTGTGACGAACAGATCGTGCTCTCCATACAGGCACGATATTGTTCATAAAGAGAGCTACCATCTGTATAGTAGACTTGTATGCCTACAATACCTGCGAGAGATTAGATAGAGGTATTATAATCTCAATTTATCATATCAATTAATATTTGGCTTTTAAGATATCAGTTGTTTTTAGGAACCCATAAAGATCTAAACGGCTTAAATCCATAGGACGTGCTTGAGTATCCCTTTGCTCTAACTTAGATTAGGGAAAGTAAGTGGAGGTTATGTATAGAACTGACCACAATCTTTATTCTTATAGAAACAGATGAACTCTATCTGTCCAATGGACCGCGTAGCTTACTTTACACACGTTTATCAATAGATGATAATAGTATGATAAAGGAACTCAAGATCTTTTAGGTCTATGTTTATTTCAGAAGAACATTCAGCATTTACCGATCAACTCTTTGGACACTACTTTCTGCTTTAGTTTTTTTTTCATAGGAAGGTTTATCCAAAGCCTTATTAACCAGTGTTTCTTCGAGACTTTTTCTCCGGAAGGGCACTTGATTACCAGGAAAAGGTGCCTGGAAGAAACACTGCGTTAACTAGGAAATAAAGACACGAAAAAAATGTGATGTCTGGATAAAGGCATGCAAGTGTTAAATACAACCGTGTGATCTCCCAAAATCTTTCTCGTACCCTCTTTTACAACAGTAAGGGGTGTGGCACTTTTGTTGCAACCGGGTTATCTATATATATAATTCTCTTCTGGGAGCCGTTAGAAAACAAGCTGCAAGCGCGCCTTACAATCCCCTCTCTTCTTCTCTATCGCTACCACCCCCACCCCCCACCCCCTCACATGATCTGGTGAGCTGTGGTCACGCTGTTTACATTTTACAATCATAGAGACGGGTTTGGTGACGGTTATTAGTGGCAGATAATTTAGTTTGAAACGATTTTAAACTTAGAGGAGGTAACTAAGAGGAGGCTGCTTTCACGTGGGGGGGGGGGGGGGGAGGAAGTTTAGTGTTTTTAAGCAAATATTTTCAGTGGCAGCATTGGTACTGTCGAATTCACAAATTATTAATTACTGAAAATTAGAAAAAAATACAACTAAATAGCGGCGTATGATACGCAGCGGGTCGGCTCGTATAAATTAATTAACTTTTTTATGGCCCTATTCTAAAAGTACGCACATTTTTTTAAAGATCTGTTGATCTGTTGACCTCAACTCACGATAAATGTGTCAGATACTAAGATAAAAACTCACATTTCCAAGACAGCATTTCAAAAAACACAGTAAAGCGGCAATCTTCTGCTGAAGCACTGGAAGGGCATCCCATAAGGAGAAAATTGAATGTGGGGGAGTACTGTCGCCTGTAGACGATGACGAGGATAGGGTTCACGACCCTGACTGGGTTGGCGGGTGGTGAGTACATGTACCCAGCCTGCGTGAAACGTGTCTCGTTATATATTCATCCATCTTTAAAAATATTTTCTAATACATATATTTTTGAGTGAAAGTTTAGTTTAAAAAATTGAAAAATAAAATGTTCAAATTAATCTATCATTAAAAAATATTTAATATTAAATATATTTTTAAGTGAAAGTTTAATAATAAAATTGAAAAACGAAATATTCAAATTAATCCATCCTTTAAAATATTTTCTAATACATATAAATATTAAAAACAAAATATTCAAATTAATCCATCCTTAAAAATATTTTCTATTACATATATTTCTAAGTGAAAATTTAAAAAAAAATTATTCACAGCAAAAAACTTAACATCAGGTAGTTGGTGATTTAAACAGCAGTTTCCTTCAAGCATCTCTAGAATTTATATAGAAAATACATACCTTTACCAGTCCTCCCCCCCACCCGGAAATTTTAGTCTCACCCCTCCCCCCCCCCCCCACCCCGCCCACAATGAAAATTTCAAGTTCCCCTCCGGAGAAAAAAGTCTGTCAGAATGAGAAACACTATTAGAAAGGCTGTTTTGAGGTAGCGTTTTTTCACTTCAGGATCTCTGTGTACTTGGAAGGTTATTTCTTGGACAATTTTTTTCGGATGTAATGTCAGAGGTGTAGCGAGGGGGGGGGGGGGGGGCGGGGGGGGACATATGTCCCCGGGCGCCGACCTTAGGGGGGGGCGCCAAATTGAAAGTTTGAGGGGGGGTGCAAATGAAAAGTTCGAGGGGGGGTGCAAATCGAAAGTTTGAGGGGGGGGGGTGCAAATGAAAAGTTCGAGGGGGGGGGGGTGCAAATCGAAAATTTGCTCCCGAGGGGGGCGCCAAATTGAAAGTATGTCCCCGGGCGCCAGAAAGGGTCGCTACGCCTCTGAATGTAATACAGAATGAATTATTTTATATAGATGCACTATAGGTCGTTAATATTCATCAATTCACCATCTTCTTCCGTTTTCGCCCAAGACACATGGGGCAGATGAAGTAGAGTGCATCTGTTTCAATTACCTCGGGACCCGAACAAAAGATTTTCGAGTTAGCAGTCGTAAACGGCCATTACTATCAATATTTTGTATTTATCTTTGAGAAAAACAATATTTTCAGTCCCTTTTCTTATAAATAAAAAAAAACAACAAAAAAATGAAGTTTGAAGTTACAATAGTGTTAAAACCTAAATTTAGAAAAAAAAGACATACAAAGCCTTTCATTGTTTCGTTGACTTTGTGTACGTTATACCAAAATCCTCGGATTTTCATTTGCCCTACATCCCATAGGAGAACGTTGTAGGTTTCATTCTCTTCCACCGGCCAGGTTATGCTCGGCTGGTTCCTGTAGATCTCGGCACCCAGCTGGTGGGGTATTGGGGGGGGGGGGGGTGACAATAACCAGAATTAGACCTAAGACACACAAAAATCTTGTTTAATCTAAACCAGATGTAGACATACTCAAGACACGTTATAACGCACAATATGCATAAACTTACTAATACAATAATTTGTATGATGACGCCACTTGCAGCATTTTAAGGGGATATGCTCAGTTTTTTCTTTCTCGTATATACGAGGTAGGCCTATAGAGTCTTGTAATCGTGCAAAAAAAAAATCGAGATTATTGCAAATCTCGACGTTTTACACCTCCCTGAGTTGGAAAAACATAGTTTTGCAATCTTGTCAGTATGTGTGTATGTGTGTGTGTGTGTGTGTGGTTATAAACACGATAACTTGAGTAACGTTACAGTTAGGTTAATGAAATTTTATATATAAGAATTATATTAAAATCGTAGATCCGTATCAACTTTTGAGCGATTTCCGATAACCGGAAGTGGAACTTTTTCTACTTTCAATTTTTGAAAAGCCTATAACTTAAGTACTCTTTAGACAGATAAATGAAATTTGACAAGTAAGTAACATATCTAATTCTCTGCCTTCCGTCAAATTTTGAGTAATTTCCGTTGACCGGAAGTAGTAATTTTCGCTATTTCTAAAAAAATGCATTTGAATTTATAAAGTACTTATAATATTCCGCACTATTATACATAATTTGTTTTGCGTTCACTTGGTGTGCAATTCTTTTTTCTACGAGATTTTATTCTATTTTTAAAAGTTTAGGTAATTAAAAATGGCTTAAAATTCATGTCTGTTTCCCGAGTTGCCTTCCCCTATTGTTTTATTTAAGAGTATTCGAGAAAGTTTAGAGGAGACCACTCCCTGTTTATTTTTTTTTCTATTTTTTACAATTTAAGATCTAAAGCCTTTTGAATACTTTTACCATATTTGGTACACGAAAGTAAGTATTAAACAGCAAAAAGAGTTGTAAAAAAATGTTGGTTATCATAAAAACCCAAAAAGTAACTCTGCCATTATGAATTTTTTGGTACATTTTAAACGTTAAGGCTTTTTTATTTATGCATTTATAGCAATCAAATTTAAACGGCTTATATTTCAGTATATATTAAAACTTTCGCCACGACAACTTTTTGAAAGAGCTACTGGTCAGAATTTTACAAGGTCTGAAAAATCGTACCCTTTTTAGTATTCAAAAGTTTCAAAATTTGCATATTATTTACCATAAACCTTTTTTCAATAAAAGTCATCAAAATTCCCTCATGATAAAAGTTTTATTTTTGCACGAAGAACAATAACTGAAAATATAGAGGGCATTGTTTAATCAATAAAAAAAGTTGTAGGCTTTTTAGTGATAAAAAACTGCGAATTGAGAAAAAGAGCAAAAAGTAACGAAAAGTATGTCATGAAAATACCGAATCTGTGTAATTTGTAAAGCCGATTGTAAGCTTTGGGTGTTTTCCAGGTTGCGGAAAATTCGATTATCGAATACATGAAAAGTAGTTTTCCAATGATGCCAAATACAATATAATGACGGATATAAAAATTTTCTTAGAGAGATTGTAAGACTGGGAAAAATTGATTATTTTTTAATTAATAGGGTCATAAAAATGGTATTTTAAACACAGACAATTTTTTTCCTTATTAAAGTTATTATTTTCTTTATACAAAAAATGGACAAAGAATTCTAAAGTGCAAGAAACGTATTATGACGAAAAACCAGGAATTTGGTGATTTTTTACTGAGCATATCCCCTTTAATTTAAAAAAAAAAGACAAACATTTTAATTTAAAAATTACGACCTAAAAGTGCTTGTTACTTGCTATTTGTAGCAATACAGGAAATAATACGAAATTGGACGCTTATAGGGCTGGTAAGTAGGTCACCAGCCAGTTATACGGCTCAATGAGCCACAGAACTGGTTGATGACCTACTTACCAGCCCTATTTCTCTATGCTTATGTGTAGAAGTTGTATAGATAGTAATAATTTAAATAATTCGGTATTATATTGAAGCCACATTGAAAATGGACCTTGAGCATAGAAAGTAAGTTTCGAAAGGCTGCTTTTTTAAAATCTTAAGTTAAGCATGGAAAGTAAGGTTCGAAAAGGTGCTTTATTTATCTTGAGCATGGAAAGTAAGGATCGAAAGACTGCTTGTTTTATCTAGAGCATGGAAATTAAGGTTGAGTGTGGAAAGTAAGGTTCGAAAGGCTGCTTTTTTTATCTTGAGTATGGAAACTAAGGTTAGAAAGTGTGCTTTTTTATCTTGAGTATTGAAAGTAAAGTTAGAAAGGGTGCTTTTTACAAGCTTTTATTTAGTTCCCAAAGTCTGTTGTTTTGTGGCAAATCTTGTAGCTCAATTTGAACAACTTCTAATGCAGCAACTTCTTTTAAATACTTCGATGACCATGCATGAACATCTTTTTTTTTTAAATTTCATTGTATTAGTCATTAAAAATTAATTAAACGGTTTCGAAACTAATGGGACATATACCGCCGAATGTTTACAATCTTAAGGCCGTTCGATCAAGTAAAGGCTATTAGGGGCAGATAATATATTTTTTAAACGATTTGAAAGTAAGGGAATTAAGAACTACCCTTTTCTGGGAACAGGGCATTTCCCTCCTGTCAATTACCCCCGGATATCCCCCCGACATTACCCCCAGAGTAATTACCCCCCTGTCAATTACCCCCGCCCAGTAGGACATTACCCCCCCCCCCGACAGGGTTAGAGTTAGGGTTAGGGCTAGGTTTTAGGGCTAGGGTTAGGGCTAGGTTTAGGTTTAGGGTTAGGTTTTAGGGCTAGGGTTAGGGTTAAGATTAGGGTTAGAGCTAGTTTTAGGGTTAGGGTTGTGTCTAGCTTTGGTTTTGGTTTTGTGTGAAGTTTTAGGCTAAGGTGGATGCTTAGGTTTTGGTCTTTTTCTTAAGGTTTGGATTAAAGTAGTATATAGGTATAAAATTCTAATTAGAGTTAGGATTTTAACTTGAGAGGGGGGAAGGGGGGGGGGGGGGTAATTCCCCGGGGTGGGGGGGGGGGGGTAATTGACAGGGGGTAATTGCTCCGGTGAATAAATACGGGGGGGGGGGGGGAAATGTCCGTGGGGGGGGGGGGGAATATCCAGGGGGGTAATGTCCTGTAGCCCCTTTTCTTTATCAGCTTGCGGTTGTCTATAAATTGTGGTTCCCGAAGGCTGCTTTTCACTGTGCAGATAATCATCATTTAGATATCGTGAGCTACTGATGGCGTTTTAAAGCAAATGTTTTCAGTCGTCAACTTCATCAATTAGATCTAGAAATCACTAAACAATAGTGAATAAAACAAATATAAAAAGCCTTTATAGCAACAAGGTTTTAAACGCAATGAAAATAAGAAAATATAGCGAATTTGCTTTCTTTAATAAAAGCTTTGGTCGCTCATGAGATCTTTTACATATTTTAGCGACAAAAGCCTTTCTGAAAGAAAGAAAATCCGCTTTTTATTTTCAGTGCATTTAAAAGCTTGTTGCTATAAAGGTTTTTATATTTTTTTTATTTTTATCTTGAGCATGGAAAGGAAGGTTCGGTCGGGTGCTTTTTAAAATCTTGAGCAAGGAACTTAGATTGTTAGATTCGAAAGGGTGCTTTCTTACCTTGATCAGGGATCGTAAGGTTTGAAAGGATACATTTTATTTACCTCGAGCAATATGCGGCTGACACGGCCGTGTCTGTTGAGCTGAAACTTGTAGCCCTCCATGTGTTGGGCCTTCCCACACACGTCCACCATCTCTACACACCAAAAAAAAAAATATAATCAGGTGATGCGTCACATTCTCTTCACGCTCCACGCGGGGTTTCAAGAGGGAGTTTGGGCCGTGTTGTGTGCTAGTTCATACACACACGCAATGGCATGCACGCACACACACACACACAAACATACATAAGAACGCATACACAATCCAACCCACTCACGCCGCCCGCACACCAAAACACGCATGCCCTCTTGCACACACACACATACACACACGCACGAACACATACACACACGCACGCACATACGCACGCTAGCACACTAGCACGCACATACACACGCACGCACGCACATACGCACGCTAGCACATACGCACGCACGCACATACGCACGCACATACGCACGCACGCACATACGCACGCACATACGCTAGCACGCACGCACGTACGTACGCACGCACACACACCCACACAACGCACGCAAACACACGCATACATATATATATATATATATATATATATATATATATATATATATATATATATATATATATATATATATATATATATATATATATATATATTTACCATCACGCGTTTCAAAGACAACTTTAATCTCCTGAGAAGGCTTTACATGTGGTAGAAGACCTGCTCGTTCAAATATTGATTCGCGGTTACTTCTGAAAAGGGATTTTTATAAATTAATTACCCCTATAAACACCAACAACAATAGCAACTGTTATATAACAAAATATTTTTAAACATTACAAACAGGTTCGAAACCAATCTAAGAGAATTTTAAATTCTTTAATTGAGTGTCATTTTATTAATGACATTATGTTATGTAAATGTTTTAAAATCTTTTTTTTTTTATATTAAGAGATGGCAAAATTTGAATTCTTGCCGTAAGACAAGGCATGTATTCAAAGGACGACACGGTTAAAGCGCAAGAATGGCCCGAATTCCAATACAGTTGAGGGGGGGGGGGGGGTGATTTTGCTGAGATTTCATTGAAAATCAATACTAAATGCAGTCAAATCTAAGGAGTAAAATACATTAAAACGATTTCTCAGATAGACCAATATATCAAAATACAGAATACGAAGTTTTGATTTGAATGAACATTTTAAAGTAGCAGTAGTCAATACACGACTTTACAAGTATCCCCGCTTTTCTTTACCCTTCATCAGTCCCTTAATTAAGCTTTCGCTTTATATTTATTCGTATGTAACAGTAAGGGTTGGGACGTCACTTACGTTGGAATCAGGTTACAGATATAGCAGGTAAATATTTTCCGAAACCGCTTTTTTTCGAGGAAACACACGGTTGCGAGAGATAAGATAAAAAGTTTTGGAAATTTTGAAGGTTTTTGAGAAACCGGAAATAGAGTAAAAGTACCACTTTCGGCTTCCCCGCAAATGTCTCAAAAGTTGAAAGAAGCCTGCTGAAACTGTACTCAAGTTATCATGTTAAAACTGGGTTTTTCCAAGACAAGAAGGTGTAAAATGTCAAAATATTTGTTTTAAACTTGATATCGCTATAAGGGCTGGTAAGTAGGTCACCAACCAGTTATACGGCTCATGCAGGTTTTATTGAGCCGTAGAACTGATTGGTGACCTACTTACCAGCCCTATTGGCACGCGTACGACAAAGTAACATTGTCATCGACCCTTATCCTAAAAGATGAATCGGGTGATACAAAGTCTAGTTGCTACTTAATACAAATGCAGATCTGAAATCTATCGAAAATGATCAGCAATAACTCACTTGCCAAATTTAGACCAAAACATTTCTTCTTCTTCTTCATTCTAAATTGTAATGTTGGACGGTAGTTCCTCCAACACAATGAAGTAATAAGCCGTTGACTCCGATTTCAGCCTGCTTTTTATTTATTTTTTTAAATTTTCTTCCATAGCCTTTGTCTATCCAAAACATAAACTACAAGGCAGCACTTCTTTTATTCTGGTTGCTGCCTTATGTGTCCTTGGGTTTCTAACTCGGGAGTTTTCGGATAAACACTTAAGAGCTGTACCGACCCGGGCAAGCTGCTAAACTCTAGTCCAATACTCTAATTTGATAAGTACCTAAATAAACGAATCGTTGTTGTTTAATACCATTACATTAAACATCGACTTTGACCTAACACCAAGAAACAAAACAAAAGCTATCCAATGGGTATAATTAAATTTTGTAAATATTCTTTGTAGTTTTTACCAATTTACCTCTGGTTAAAGCAAGGCCCGTAGAGACTGCCGCATTTTTTTGAACAATTGTTAACGCCAAACCACGGCCATGTAGGGTCATTCAATAACTTCAACATCTCGTCGTCTGTTTTAAAGATAACAATTGGATGGACCAACTCATTGTGGTTAAGTTCTGAACATCGTCACATTAATCGATATGTTCGCACACCCCACACCTCGACATGATCACACACTTCACACTTCGATATGGTCACACACCTGACACACCTCATACATCCATATGGTCACACACCTCACACATCGATATGGTCTGTCACACACCTCACACATCGATATGCTCACACACCTCACACATCGATATGGTCACACACCTCACACATCGATATGGTCACACACCTCACACATCAATATGATCAAAGACCTCACACATCGATATGGTCACACACCTCACACATCCATATGGTCACACACCTCACACATCCATATGGTCACACACCTCACACATCGATATGGTCACACACCTCACACATCCATATGGTCACACACCTCACACATCCATATGGTCACACACCTCACACATCGATATGATCACACACCTCACACATCGATATGGTCACACACCTCACACATCGATATGCTCACACACCTCACACATCGATATGATCACACACCTCACACATCGATATGATCACACACCTCACACATCGATATGGTCACTCACCTCACACATCCATATGGTCACACACCTCACACATCCATATGGTCACACACCTCACACATCCATATGGTCACACACCTCACACATCGATATGGTCACACACCTCACACATCGATATGGTCTGTCACACACCTCACACATCGATATGGTCACACACCTCACACATCGATATGGTCACACACCTCACACATCGATATGGTCTGTCACACACCTCACACATCGATATGGTCACACACCTCACACATCGATATGGTCACACACCTCACACATCGATATGGTCTGTCACACACCTCACACATCGATATGGTAACACACCTCACATATCGCTATGGTCACACACCTCACACATCCATATGGTCACACACCTCACACATCGATATGGTCACACACCTCACACTTCCATATGGTCACACACCTCACACATCGATATGGTCACACACCTCACACATCGATATGGTCACACACCTCACACATCGATATGGTCACACACCTCACACATCGATATGGTCACACACCTCACACATCGATATGGTCACACACCTCACACATCGATATGGTCACACACCTCACACATCGATATGGTCACACACCTCACACATTGATATGGTCACACACCTCACACATCGATATGGTCACACACCTCACACATCGATATGGTCACACACCTCACACATCGATATGGTCACACACCTCACACATCGATATGGTCACACACCTCACACATCGATATGGTCACACACCTCACACATCGATATGGTCACACACCTCACACATCGATATGGTCACACACCTCACACATTGATATGGTCACACACCTCACACATCGATATGGTCACACACCTCACACATCGATATGGTCACACACCTCACACATCGATATGGTCACACACCTCACACATCGATATGGTCACACACCTCACACATCGATATGGTCACACACCTCACACATCGATATGGTCACACACCTCACACATTGATATGGTCACACACCTCACACATCGATATGGTCACACACCTCACACATCGATATGGTCACACACCTCACATATCGCTATGTTCACACACCTCACACATCGATATGGTCACACACCTCACACATCGATATGGTCACACACCTCACACATCCATATGGTCACACACCTCACACATCGATATGGTCTGTCACACACCTCACACATCGATATGGTCACACACCTCACACATCCATATGGTCACACACCTCACACATCCATATGGTCACACACCTCACACATCGCTATGTTCACACACCTCACACATCGATATGGTCTGTCACACACCTCACACATCGATATGGTCTGTCACACACCTCACACATCGATATGGTCACACACCTCACACATCGATATGGTCACACACCTCACACATCCATATGGTCACACACCTCACACATCCATATGGTCACACACCTCACACATCGATATGGTCTGTCACACACCTCACACATCCATATGGTCACACACCTCACACACATCACACATCGATATGGTCACACACCTCACACATCCATATGGTCACACACCTCACACATCCATATGGTCACACACCTCACACATCGATATGGTCTGTCACACACCTCACACATCGATATGGTCACACACCTCACACACATCACACATCGATATGGTCACACACCTCACACATCCATATGGTCACACACCTCACACACATCACACATCGATATGGTCACACACCTCACACATCCATATGGTCACACACCTCACACATCGATATGGTCACACACCTCACACATCGATATGGTCTGTCACACACCTCACACATCGATATGGTCTGTCACACACCTCACACATCGATATGGTCACACACCTCACACATCCATATGGTCACACACCTCACACATCGATATGGTCACACACCTCACACATCGATATGGTCACACACCTCACACATCGATATGGTCACACACCTCACACATCGATATGGTCACACACCTCACACATCGATTTGGTCACACACCTCACACATCGATATGGTCACACACCTCACACATCGATATGGTCACACACATCACACATCGATATGGTCACACACCTCACACATCCATATGATTACACACCTCACACATCGATATGGTCACACACCTCACACATCGATATGGTCACACACCTCACACATCGATATGGTCACACACCTCACACATCGATATGGTCACACACCTCACACATCGATATGGTCACACACCTCACACATCGATATGGTCTGTCACACACCTCACACATCGATATGGTCACACACCTCACACATCGATATGGTCACACACCTCACACATCGATATGGTCACACACCTCACACATCGATATGGTCACACACCTCACACATCGATATGGTCACACACCTCACACATCGATAAGGTCACACACCTCACACATCGATATGGTCACACACCTCACACATCGATATGGTCACACACCTCACACATCGATATGGTCACACACCTCACACATTGATATGGTCACACACCTCACACATCCATATGATTACACACCTCACACATCGATATGGTCTGTCACACACCTCACACATCGATATGGTCACACACCTCACACATCGATATGGTTACTCAATTCAGCATCCATTTGGTTACGATTCTAATATTTACTTTTTATAAAAAACAAATTATAATTTTTTGAACTGTAAAGTGTAAAGCTAACTTAAAAAAAACAACAGTAAATAGATCTAGACTTATAACTAGACTAGTTCTAGATCGAGAATCTAGATGTCTAGATCTAGACTATCGGTACATACCCAGCTAAATAATTATTTAATTTTTTAAATAAATGTATCGTACTTGATCTCACCAACCTAAAAATAAATATAGTCTTAATGTCTACCTGCTTTATTCAGAAGAAAATAATGAAATATGGTTAGTATAAACAATGTGATCCTCTTCATTTTCAAGGTTGAATGTTTGTAAAACTGGTAACGTTTTCTTTTAATGCTGGATCGTGCACTTAACTTGAGAAACCTCTTATAATCGCGGTGTGCAATACAAGGGATATGAATTGCGTCCTAAAACATAGAGCCAAATAGTTAGAACTTCGAGGATATCAGAAGGTTTTGAGCAGGGTTTCTACCAGAAAATTTACTTGGGTGGGGGTCAAGAGAAACTTACGGGCTAGGGCAAGTATCTTTTTTAAATGTACCAAATTGGGAACAGAACAAAACTAAACACAAACGCTTAAACCCGTACTTCGCTACTGTGGGGATATCGCTACGGTGTAGATATTACCTCGTAGTTGCGGGTCCCCACATTGGGGCGAATTTTCCTTCAGCGCACAGCGCTGCGCGCGAGTAGCTTATACTCATGCTTCACTACGGTTTGGATATGAATATTATCTCAGAGCAACGCGCTGCGTTTAAGCAGATAATCCTTCACTGCGCGCGAGTATTTATACCCGTTCTTCGCTACGGTGTGGATATGGATATTACCCCACAGTTTACCGCGCTGTGCGCGGATGGGGGTCCCCGCATTGGGGCGGATATTCCGTCAGCGAGCCGCGCCGCGCGCGGGTGTCGGTGGTACTTTTAGTGAAAATGGATATTCACGAAAATGAAGCTACGGTAAAAAAAAATGAGAGCTGAAGCTCTCACGAACGTCCGCCCAGACATCTCTCCTCCCCAAACTCGGTCGTCAGCTAGACTGCCGCCGAACAACACGTTTACCCGAGCGTCAGCGCCTATAGCGATGAGAGGACTGACCGCTACCTGGCGGCTTATATATATATATATATATATATATATATATATATATATATATATATATATATATATATATATGTATATACTCAGAGGCGTAGCGACCCTTCCCGGTGTAATGACGGCTCTCCGACAGCCGCGGAGGGAGCGGACACCCCCGGTTCGTTTGGGATGGCACTGACAGAAGTCACTAATGTAATCACAACAACTTGACGTGAGCTCGTTATTGATGTCTAAGGGTAAAACACGACAAATTGAAGAGACTCAACACGACTTAAAACTGTCAATACCCTTTTAATAAGTGTACAAGAAATTACGACACTGGGTCTGTACAACATGTACAGACTTTAAGAGTACAATAAATAAACTCAAAACTCCAACTTACAGTTAAAGAAAATCACTATATATCACAGCTGTGGCTTAGTATATTAAACACGTTTAAAGAACATATAAATACCACAATAGTGACAATATCAATAAGAGACATATTGACTCTACATTCTACAACAATAGAAACTCAAAAAAAGGTCAACCTTTGTTGTCACCGATGTGACAAAGTGTGCAATTATACACCAGAACAAAATATCAGTAATACTAAAAATGGTCACACAATACCTTATATAAAGGTGATAAAACATGCCACAAACTACACAAATGGCGCACAAAACATACGGTACATCTCTCTCCTAGTCCAAATGTCAAATAGGCTGCCTTTAGACTTGACCTGCACGAGATTAAATACAGCTCAGTATTAGGGGAGATCACTCAAAAGTCCTACGACTGTTGGTTGAGGATCTGTTAAGGATCCTCACGGTCGCAAGATCATTGGTCGAGGGTCTGCTAGGGATTAAACAATCCATTCACATGACGTGACGGAGTTCAGTTGACCGATGAGAACCGGTGAACTAACAACTCTCCCTAGGTCAATCACATAACTCAGGAGACTAAATAATATAAATAAAGAAAAACACCTTAGTAGGTCACACAGCGCCCGGGGACAAATTTTCGATATGCACCCTCTTGAAACTTCGATTTGAACCCCCCCCCCTAAAACTTCGATTTCCACCATCCCCCTCCCCCCTTCAAACCCATTTTGGCGCTACCTAAGGTCGGCGCCCGGGGACATATGTCGTTACCCCCCCGCCCCCACCCTCGCTACGCCTCTGTATATACTCACACATCGATATGGTCACTCACCTCACACACACACACACACACATATATACTAGCTGCATCCCGTGCTCCGCCACGGTAAATCTTTTTAAAATATACCAATTTTGGAACAGAACAAAACAAAACAAACAAAAACACAACACAAACAAAACACAACCACAACCACAACACAACCACAAAACAACCACAACACAATCACAACACAACCACAACACAACCACAAAACAACCACAACACCACAACCACAACACACGGTAAATATTTTTTAAATGTACCAAGTTGGGAACAGAACAAAACTAAATACAACACAAACGAACGCAAAGAAAAAACAAAAACGAAAAAACAAACACAACACTCAACATAAACTCAATTTAAATGTAATCATAAAGGCATATTGCTCACAGTCTATCCCGTAGCGCCAAATCGCGCCCTTTCCGAGCGCCGGCGGAAAATTTCGATTTACACCCTCCCACATCCCTCAAACTTTCGATTTCCACCCTCCCCCCCCCCCTCTTGCTACGCCTCTGTTATAAAACCCCTAGCTTTTCCGCAAATAAATTAAAGGCAGTATTTAGAATATCCGTGTTTTACCGACCATATTGCACTTTATAAATTCATGCATTTTTTTCAGTACTTTTAAAAATTTACAATAAAGTTTCATGACTAAAACCATTGCGCACCTAATGAACGTGATGACTTAATATAGTAATGGAGAATAGTTGATTAAAAATTATAATTAGTAAACAGTACATTCAGTGAATAAAATAAATAAAAGATAGCCTTTTATCAATCAATGCTAATAATAATATTCCAACAATAATGTACTCTTACACGTCTGCATAATTTGCATTCACATTTTGCTAATTATATTATTCCAACAATTATTCCGCCTTGTAGATTTTGCATTCACATTTTTAGCGTGAGTTCAATTTATCTTTGAATTACCTCCATTGGCAAAATTACTAAGCAGTTTAATTAGATTTTTCTACCGTACTGTTATTATGTTATTAATATGTATCCGCTTTTTCTGGGAATATTAACGAAAACGATATTTGACATTGACACTTTTAATATGTTTTAGCAATGTGCGTGTATTTAATATTCTCTTTACGTTATGCAAAATTGTACAAACAGTGGAAATTATAAAATAATTCTATGCCACTATATAAACAAACCCTACTCTTATACTTATAATTAGACACTGCGGTGCACTGAAAAGCACTGCGTGGTGCGAATGTTTACTTTTATAGTCCCAAAATCTATAGCGATGACGGACAGACACAGCCCGCTTATATTATAGACTAGCTGCATCCCGTGCTCCGCCACGGTAAATCTTTTTTAAATGTACCAACTGGGGAACAGAACAAAACTAAACACAACACAAACGAACGAAAATAAAACACAAAAGAAAAAACAAACACAACACTCATAACATAAACACAATTTAAATGCAATCATAAAGGCATATTGCTCACAGTCTAGCCCGTAGCGCCAAATCGCGCCCTTCCCGAGCGCCGCCGGACGCGTCTGACACAGTGAATGACTATAAAACAGAGGCGTAGCGACCCTTTCCGGCGCCCGGGGAAAAACTTTCAATTTGACCCCCCCCCCCCACTCAAACTTACGATTTGCACCCCCTCTCCTCAAAATTTCAATTTCCACCCCACCCCCTTAAACTTTCGATTTAACCCCCCCCCCCCCCCGTTCAGACTTTCGATTTGCACCACTTTTGATTTGAAAATCCCCCCCCCCCCCCCCTCAAACTTTCGATTTGCACCCTCCCACCGCCCTCAAACTTCCGATTTCCACCACCCCCCCCCCCCCGCACATTTTTTTCAACCCACTTTGGCGCCCCTTAGGTCGGCAACCGGAGACATATGTCCCCCCCCCCCTCTCTACGCCTCTCCTATAAAACCCCCAGCAGTATTTAAAATATCCGTGTTTTACCTACCATATTATATCACTTTATCAATTCACGAATTTTTTTCCCAGTACTTTAAATTTTAAAAATTCACAATAGAGTTTCATAACTAAAACCATTTCGCACCAAATGAACGTGATGACGCGTCTATAATAGTGCTTAATAGTTGATTAAAAATTATAAGTAGTAAACATTACATTCAGTGAATAAAATAAATAAAAAATAGCCTTTTATCAATCAATGCTAATTATAATATTCCAACAATAATGTACTCTTACACGTCTGCATAATTTGCATTCACATTTTGCTAATTATATTATTCCAACAATTATTCCTTCTTGCAGATTCTGCATTCACATTTTTAGCGTGAGTTCAATTTATTTTTAAAATACCCCCCTTGGCAAAATTGCTAAACAGTTTAATTAGATTTTTCTAACCTACAGTTATTATGTTATAAAAATGTATCCACTTTTCTAGGAATATTAACGAAAACGATATTTGACATTGACACTTTTAATATGTTTTAGCAATGTGCGTGTATTTAATATTCTCTTTACGTTATGCAAAATTGTACAAACAGTGGAAATTATAAAATAGCTCTATGTCGTTATATAAACAGATCCTACTCTAATATTTATAATAAGACAATGCGATGCACTGCAAAGCACTAAATGGTGCGTTGTTTACTTTTATGGTTCCAAAATCTATAGCGATGACGGACGGAAGGAAGGACTGACACACTACTTGCCCGCTTATATTATAGACTAGCTGCATCCCGTGCTTCGCCACGGTAAATCTTTTTTAAATGTACCAACTTGGGAACAGAACAAAACTAAACACAACACAAACGAACGCAAAAAACAAACAAACGAAAAAACAAACACAACACTCATAACATAAACACAATTTAAATGCAATCATAAAGGCATATTGCTCACAGTCTAGCCCGTAGCGCCAAATAGTGCCATTTTAGGTGATTTGCACCCAACTCAAACTTTCGATTTGCACCCCTTCCCCCCCCCGCCCTAAAACTTTCGATTTCCACCACACCCCCCCCTCGCAAATTTTTTCCAACCCACTTTGGCGCCCCCTAAGGTCGGCACCCGGGGACATATGC